GCGATGCGACTGCGACGATGGAGGTGCACACCCCCTTCTACTTCCTTGTGCGAACGTTAAGTGTGATGGAGTACTCTCGAGAGAGGAACCAAACTGACCGTCTTCCTCTTCACCTTCTTCAATTTGTAGTGGAGATCACGCCGACGTTCTACAGCACCTCGTTCATTGCGGTTCTCGATCGCCTGCTGGAGACCGAGGATCTGCGGCCAGACCGCATGGTGCACGGCTACCTCTCCACCCGATGCTGAAGGCAACACACAGACGAAACGACACACGACACTACGGCTTTGCCTCTCTCTTCCTCTCGTCTCTCCTCCTGTGGTCGCTGAAGCGGCATTGATGCGGAACGAGCGAGACGCACCGCACACAGACAACATGACGATGACATCACACGCGTCGCGTGCTTCTTTCGCCCTACACCTGGGTTAACCCTCCCTCCTCTTTGCTCTCGTCTTTAGTGATGTGAGTGTTGAGCGTGTATTGTGCACATGTGCGTGTGTCGTGCGACAGTCGTGTGCGCCTCATGGGAATAGTCCTCGGAAGTAGTCTGCACGCGCCACACACAAAGAGGGTTCGTAGTGAGCGCGTGTGCGGTGCTGCGTGTCGTGTGCGTGTTCAGGGAAGAAGCACGCACCCTCGAATTCCTCGCTTCTGTTCTTGGTCTGCTCGACTTGCGCGTCCTTCTTCCACACGTTCTTGGCCTTCTCGGCCTCCCGCTCGGCCTTCTCCTTCTCCTCCCTCTCGATGCGCTCCTGCTCGGCCAGCTCTTCGGCCTCGCGCGCCTTCTTCCTCTCCAGCTCGTCGAGTTCGTCCTCCCGGCCCTCCTTCTTCATCTTCTTCCGCAGCTTGCGCTCCTCCTTATCGACCTTCCGCTTTCGCTTCTTCTCCTCCTTCTTCTTCTGCTGCTCCTTCTTGTAGTTGAGCTTGTACGCGCAGGGCGGACACAGGCGCAGCTTGACCAGCGCATTCTTCGTCTCGCCCGCCTCCGCGTACTGGAAGTTGACCTCGTAGCTCTTCAGGTCCTCCTTCGCCTCGCAGTGCTTGTTGCCACATATGAACTGGCCTGCGTGTAGTGGCATGCATCAAAAGATGTAAACAACAAATTCATAAACGTGTAGAAGATGAAGATGATGCAAGAAGATGAAGATGCAAGTTGCTAAAGAGGAAGAGGGAAGGGTGGTGCATGGAGTATATACCCTTGCCGATGATGACTTCCTTCTCGACGCGCCATCGCATGCCGACCTGGCCTTCGCGATAGCGGGTGAGGTCGGCGATGCAGTACTCGCGGTAGAGGCGCTCGTAGTATCGTCGCGCCAGCCGCTTCTCCCACGCCTCCCGCGAGTCGTCGGCTCGATCATCCTCCTCCGTGCGAATGAACCTAGAGTAGTAGTATACGCCATCATCATAACATCAGCACCACCCTAGCACCACATGTGCAGCACATGCACAACGCACGTACCGGTACTGCTGCTTGAGAATGTCATCGTCCGACTTTGTGGGCTTCTGGGGCACGGCGGGCAGCTTCCCTCGTCCATAGTACAACACCTACAAAGATAGAAATAAAAAAAAATAAAACAAATAATCAATAATCAATTATAAATAAATGATGGCGGCGTACGTAGTCGCGAATGTAGCGTTGGTGCCGCTCGTAAGCGTTCATGGTGCCTGTGTAGTATAGCCTACGCGACGAAGAGTCTTCAATCGGACCCAGGCTGGCCTTGGGTCGTGGTGGCGGCAAGATGGAAGGGCGACCACTGGCACCTGCCGTCCTGCTTTCCCCCTCATCTTCCAGATCTGATGCGAAGCCCGAGGCCGAATTCACGAACAAATCGAACAGGCTGGGCTTCCCTCCATCTCCTCCTGCACTGTCCATGGCGAAAAAGAATTTTATCTCTATTTGAATATTCCGTAATTGTTCTTTTTTTTTGCGGGTCATGGATGGGGACACGCTCCGCCACACAGCAACCTCCCTGCGTGACAACAAGCAAGCACCAAGAGAGGCCAGGGTACAGGCCACAAGGCTTTGCCAGGCGCACTTCAAGGCCATGGAGGAGGAGGGAGAGGAGGAGGAGGAGCAGGATATGGCCCAGGGCCAGAAGAGGGGGCTAGAGGAGGGCACCACCCCAGCCTGGAACAAGAGAAAGGTTGAGCTGAAGGGAGACAATGCTAAGAGCAAAGGGGACAAGGAAGAGGACAATGAGGAAGATGCCAACAAGCAAGAGGACAACAAGCAAGAGGACAACAAGCTTTTTGTATTGGGATCCTCACCTATCCCCTCCTGTGTACAGAAATACAAGCTGAGATATGCACATACAGAAATGGAACAATGGTGAAAAGGGCAAGGCCACCACATGGAAGCAGCTTGACCTGGATGCACTTATTGCAGAGTATGAAAGCAAGGATGGCTATAGCAACCAGCAGCATGGTCACATGCTGAAGGAAAAGTGTGAGAAGGAGGAAGCTGTTGGACAACAAGAAGGAGAAGAAGGAGAAGGAGACAATGGTGATGAGGGGGAATCCAACAAACAACAGCAATGGTGAAATCAATTACCTAAAGGAGCTTGAGATGTGGAGAAAGGAGCTCACAGCCTGTATGGAGTTTTATCACCAGCTGTGTGCAATGGTATGCAGGCTGAGGACCTTTAGTCACATGATGGTAATACCATCATTAGACATGTAACCAGCAGCACACAAGCTGAACTTCAGATCAAGTCCCACCAACAGGATGCCCTTCTCTTCACACACAAAAAGAAGAAGCTTCCAGCAATCAACCTCAAAACTGTATTATTGCACCATCATTCCTCTGGACCAGCACAAGCAAGGAGTACACCCACTGTCAAGGTCTACACACCCACTGCCAAGGTCTACACACCTGCCATCAAGATCTACAAGCACACTGCCAAGGTCAACACTACCACCACCAACTTCCACACACCTTCCGCTAAGATCAACATGATTGAGGGGCAACAACAGAACTTAGTGGACTTAAGCATTGTCGCCTCTTGCACAGCAGCTGCTTGTGCCCCCCTTCATTATGGTCATCATCACCACCAGCATTGGGCTCACCACCCTTGGCTTGTCCTCCTCATCCTCATCCCTGCAAGCTTCTTCATGCCTCCTCTTCATCAGTAGCCTGTGCAGGGTGGTGGTGGTGGTGGTGGTGAGGATGGGTTGGTGGAAGTAGTGGTGCTGGCAAGTGGTGTGGTGGCCTGCTTGGTTGTGGTGATGAGGACAGAAGGTGGTTGTGGTTGATTGATTGGGTGGGTGGTGACTGGGTGGTTGTTGCTTGTAGTGGACAGCTGGGTGGGTTGGATGAGCAAATTGAGTTGAGCCATGGTGGCACACTATTTATATGGGAAGAATGGGGCCAATGCAGGCAAACGCTCACATGTAGCTTGAGTTGTGTGTGGTGAGCCTCAACACTCCACAAGGCTCACTTCTGCTCCTGGTGACTGTGCCTGCCCACATTTTTTTTAATTTGGGTCCACCAGATACCCAAAAGATTTATTTATTTATTTATTTATTGTTGACACAGAGATTGCACATGCCAGTTTGGGTGTTGTGGTGGGGCGAAATAAATCAGCACATATGGGGCTCCTCAGTTGACACTGTATTGATCTCCTTGCATGTGCAGATATATGATCCTGACAAGCTGCTCAAATGTGTGGCAGCTGGCACTGGTGGTTGGGACGGCTTTTTGCCAATAGAGCTTCTCATTTCGCCCATGGGAAGTTGCCATGGGACCTGCCCAGCCCTTGGCTTCATCTTTGCCTGCAACGCCCAAGCCCTTGGCCTCATCTTTGCCCTCTGCACCCAAGCCACACCATAAGTGGTGGGTGAGCAAAGAATATAGAGCAAAGGGGTTGGGGGAATCATACCCAAGGCAGAGCACTTCTTGTAGGTGATGAAGAAGCCAATCTCCTTCTTCTTGCCCTTCATGAAGGGCCTGTCTGGTTGCTCATACCTGAGTTCAATCTGCACCTTCTCCTTGTTATAACTGGCAGCAGCCAGAGCTGCCCCTGTAGCAATTGTGTTGAGAAGGGCAGAGTTGGTGTGAGGGATGCTGCTCCAGTCAGGGAGGTTGGTGATGTGCCAGATGTTCAGCTTGTTGGTCCCAATGAGATTGGTTGGGTAGATGTTGTACTGGGCAGCTGGCTTCATGTCCTTCCTCATGAGACCACTGATGAACACAGCTGGTGGTGCCTATCATGGAAATGGGGTTAGGGGACTTGCAGTCCAAGAGGAATGGGGGCAACCAGCTGTACCTTGGACAGTGGTCTTGGGTCTGTTTGGGTAGGGGGCCTTAGCAGGCTTGTCCTTGTTGGTCTCCTCTTCCTTGGTCTGCCTCTTTCTCTTTGTCATATCTCCACCCTCCTCCCCTGGCTTGTTGCTACTTGAACTGCCCATTGGATTATCATACTGCCCCTTGGGTGCTGCAACGCCCTTGGTGCTTGTTTCTTTCTCCTTGCCCTTCACTAGAATGGAGGCCAGTTCTTCTGCGCTCACCTGAGTGGGAGTGCAGGGTAAGGGAATGCCCATGGTGGTGCATGGTGGTGTGTGGTGGTGTTTGGGTGGCACTTTGCTGGCCTTGTCTTTTCTGTTGACACCTTGGCCAATCCCCAAACTGCTGGTGGCCACAGTGTGAAGGTCTTTCAATTAGCCTGTCCATGTCAAAGTGATTGGGTGTAGCTGCAGCACCAAGAACCTACATCAAGCAACACTTAGTGTGTATGTTCTCTTCCCACCCTCTTTTTCAAAATCTCCATGTGGACCAATCAATCAGGCCCATCTTCTTGTCCATTTACTGTCCATTTACTCCCTTCTTGTCCATGTACTCATGAGTGGTTGTGCCTAGTTGCCTTTGCACCTTGAAATGGCTGAATGGTGCACAATCTGTCATCATGGCTATGCCAACCTCTGGTGTCATCAAAGTACACTTCCCTTCCCAAACATTTAATAGATATAGATGATGTTTACAATGCACTGTGACAGGGGCTATTCAACAGCTACTTGGTGTGGCATGAACTGGGACTGTTGGTCCAAACCAGCAACAAGGCCCTCTAGGTGCAGGGGAGAGAGCAACAGGGGACAAGGAGAAAGAGGAGATTGAAGCAAACATAAGAGTGGTAGATGATGTGAGTAGTGGAGGAGAGGAGGTAGTGAAAGAAGGAGAAGAAGTTGTTTGGGAATTCACAGAAGATGGTCTGGCGGATAAAGTGGAGATGGTAGAAGATGAGCAGGAGAAGGTCAGTGGTGTGATCAAGGAAGAGGAGGAGGACAACCACAGTGATGACGAGGATGAAGAAGGGGGGGACTGCCACTGAGAAAGCGAATGTGAATGACCAGGAAGATGCCACCCTTGAGGAGCTTCTTGCTTTCTTCACTGGAGAGCCTGCTACACTGACCTATCCAGTTACAACAACAACACCGGCGTGGTCGTGCATGGTGAGCGCGTGCGTGTCGTGTCCCTCGCTCCTCAACACCGCCTACCTTCCGCAGACGCTCGACGCGCAGATGAACCTTTCCGCCGCCCTGTACCTCAATGACACCGGTCCGCAGCCCTCATCCCAGCCAATGATCACCATTGTGGCCCGCGGTGAGCCCTGCGCTGACCACTGATCGTCTGCGGTGATGGGCGATGGGTGGTGGGGGTTAGGCAAGGGGCTGTTGCTGGACAGGAACAGCCTTTCACTGAAGCTGTCGCCCATCTTCGAGTGGAATCGGGACGCAATCGCGCGGCAGCATGGCAGCGTGATCAACTACATACTGGCCTACATGGAGACCAGCCCGGCGACCAAGCTCTTCATCGCGACCAACGCTGATCGGCTCCAGGTGTCCTACTTCGACTACAAGTGGGAGCTCAACAGCTTTGAGAACTCTCTGCTTCGGTCGCTCGCCCTCCTTCTGGTGAGGCGGCACGAGACAAGATTATTTTATTTTATTTTTGAAAACTTGTTTTATTTAGGGGAGACAGTTGATCTCCTCCCTTGCCTGCGCCAACTTGATGCAGTGGCCAAAGAGTACTACCACAAGGTGCTTGATATCAGGAAATTGTGGATGAGTCTTGGACGTGAACAACCCTTCAATTCGCACTTAAGCGTTCGTTGTTGACGAAAACGCGGGTAGGGCATGAACAGCGCAGGCTCGCCCGCCAGCCGTCGACCCCCGCGCCGCGCCGCGCCAGACTTCTCGGCACCGATGGCTCACTGCATGCAGAGTGGAATAAGCACACTGATCGATCCCAAACAAGTCAGTGAGCCAAATGCTTCCGAAAAGAAAGCCATCATCTAATAACATACCTTATTCGAGCCCGAGGGCATTCAACATCTTGGCCTTGGCCGCCGTCACTGACTCCAGCACGTGAGTATCCACGCGCGACACGCTGGCCAGATCGAAGAAGATCACCCGTCGCTGCCGCCTCAGCCCCAGCCTTCCAACGTGGCGCCAGGAGAGGTCTTCATGGCAGTAGCCGCTCGAGGCCATCTCGGCGATCGCTGCCCGCACCTGCTGCTTGGCCTTGTGCGAGAGCGGCTGTCCTTTAACGGCGCGCGCGTAGGGCATGATCAGCGCAGGCTCACCCGCCAGAGTGGTGACGCGCACGCCTTCGACTCCCCAGGCCGCGCGCCAGACGTTGGCCTCTGCCTCCAGACGCTGCCTCTGGTCTTCTGCGGGGGCTTTTTTGCAGAACTTGATGACGCAGCCGGTCCCGCTGGTCGTGCAGGCCCGCCAGGCCCTCCCGTCAACACCTCCACCAAGATCCCGCAGCAGAAAGAAGCGTGTGGCGCGTCCGGTCGGCATGTCGGCATCGTTGACGTCCTCGATGGTCGCCGGGACTCGAGCCCAGAACCACTGCGTCTCGTTCATGCAGACGCGAACGCTGGACGATAGCGCAGGTATGGGAGTGCACGGGGACTTCCACATCTTGTAGACGACGCTTGCCAGCAGGGCTGAGAGCTCGGGTCCGGCCTGCTCCGAGTCGTACACCTTGGTGCCGTGCAGCACACGCGGTGATTCGTCCTCCTTGACCGGCGCATTGTCATCGTCCGATTGGGTGAACGTCGTGTTCAGATCGACTTCCTCCTCCTCCTCCTCATCGTCGTCCTCGCCCTCGTCGCCCTCGTCGTCGTATCTCACGCGGCCGATGCCATCCTCCTTCCTGGCGCCCCCGAGGTTTTCGATGGCGGTACAAGTGTCAGCGGCGGCGTAGCGGTCACTCTCCTCGAACCAGTAGAATCTCCACTTGGTGTAGGTCGTCACGATCCCGAGCACGTGCTTGACACCGAAAAGGGTCTTGACGCAGCGCATGTAGTCGAATATCTGCCCGTGCACGCGCCTGTGGTCCATGATCGCCGGGCTTGGTCTCTTCACCTCGATCACGCCGACGGGTACGCCGCTAGCGGACTTCAAGACCCAGATGTCAGGCCGCAACCGGGTCAGGCCCAACTCAGTGGCGAGACGGATGGTTCCTGATGGTAGACCGGCGAGGCAGATCGCATCCGCCATGACCTGGACGACCCGCGATTGCACATCGGCCTCAGTTGACCATTGTGCCAATAGGCCGGTGTCGAACGTCGTCCAAATCGCCGACGCGGCTGTCGGCTCGCGCAGGGACAAGTCCTTCACCGTCGGATGCACTTGTTGCTCGATCAGGATTGCTCCGTCGTGATCGTTGCTCACCGACGCCTCCGAGGTCGAGGCCTGACGTTGTCCCAAAGGGGGCAGGCCGCGGTCGACAAAACGCCCTAGCATCGAGAATACGTTTTTTATCCACGTTAGATTAAATTCATCTACACGCCAAAAGGAGCCAACGTACTTCTCTCCTCTCGCGTTTCTTGCTCTCTCAGTTGCAATTTGCGGTTCTCCTCTCGCGTTTCTTGCTCTCTCAGTTGCAATTTGCGGAACTCAGCCACTAGGGCTTCCCTGTCCAAATCGTCAATCTGAGCCATCTCTACACGCTTGCCTTTCGTCGCGTACCGCCGAGTCGTGTTGGCGGGAACTTTGTTTTGTTTTTTCTCTTTTTTGGTATTTCTGCGAAATCTGCTGGCGGTGTCCGAACGAAATTTCATGGTTGATTGCAGTGGAGGAAAGTGGAAGGGGTGAAAGTGGAAGGGGTGGGGCGTAAAAACTGAGAAGAAAGTGAAAGCAAAGGGGTGGGAAAGTTCTGAATCATGGTATGAGCCATCTCATAAGTATTTTCGCACCACACTTTTGGGGCTTGTTCAGAGCCAGGCAATGAAATGGCTATCAATGTTGTGGTGTTTGGTGGGGGCCTGCAAGGAGGTGTTTATTCCTTAATATGACCCACTGCTTTGATGATAGCCCAAACATTGGGCTGGAGGTGGTCAATATAACAATTGACCACCTCTACAGAAACACCTTTCCAGAACTGATATGAGCTCTTTTAGTGAGGAGGGATGAAGGGAGGCCACATGATCCTTGAGTGGACCCCACAGCTTCTTGATGGGGTTCAGCTCTGGTGATTGGGGTGGGAGCTGGAGAAATTGGCCTCCTTCCTGGTCACCCCACTTTTGGACCACTTGTGCTGTTTGCTTTTGGTTGTTGTCCTGGATGAATAACCATTGCCCAGGGTAGTGCTGACACACAGTAGGGAGGATGTGCTTTGTGAGGAGATCTCAATAGCACTTGGCCATCAGCCACCCTTGGAAGATGGCAATGCTGCAGGTGCCTTGGCTTGAAATTGCACCAAGGATGAAGGCTTGTGGGCCATGTGCTGGACCCTCAAACCACTTGTCTTTGATTTCCTCCCAGCTCTTGGCCCAAACATGGCCTCAGGCCTCAGAGCTTCTCACTGTGGTGATGTCAAGGAAGACTGCATTGGCCCAGAACCAATTTCATTTGTGCTGCTGAGAACAAGAATGTCTTCATGCTTGCCTTCCTCAGTCTCCTTCTCAGCCTGGATATGTTCCAAGAGGTCTACCTGAGCTTTCTGTTGGTTGGGCATACACATGAAGACATTGACCAGCTCTTCTCCACTGCTCAGACAAAGTTCCATACCTCTTCCATTCACACCCCAAGGTAATGGTCATCACTCTTTTTTTGTGTTGATTGTTTTCCTGATGCACATTGGGTTTTTTATTTGTCAACTCATTACCCTGACGCACATTGGTTTTTTCTGTCAGCATTAATGATTGCCCCTTTTTGTTCACCTTCCTAACTTCATCTTCAAATTTCAGTCAACTTTCTGGTTTTCTTGAGCAGGCTTACCAATCCACCGGCCCAGCTCCTTCCCTGCACACCCTTGAAACTGTTTTAGCTTGTGGCTTTGACTTTAACGCCAACACTGGAGTTCCCCCACCCACCCTTCAAGAAATATTTAGACACCTGTAAATAAAACTTCTCTTCTCTGTGTACATTCAAATTCCACAGTGTTTTTATCTCATGTACACCTGTTTTTAGTTTCATTAAAAAGTACCACTGTCAGCTTCATGGATCCCCAAGCACATCACCAACCTTACCAGCATCAATATCATCACAAGGCTCTGCACTGTCCTGGCTGCAAGGGGTCCCCAATGTTGACATTGAAGCACTCCTGCTCACTCTTGCCACAGTCAACCAGCTCCTCAGCAAGTACCCCATGCACACCGAGAGCCGGAGTTTGGCTCTCCATGTGGGATTCTCCCGCGGGAAGAAAATCCAGCAGGAGGTCGACGAGAATCCTGTTGGAGAGCCACCTTAAAGAGCGACCAAGTCCAGCCCTGTTAAATAATGCCCCGGCTGTCAGGAATTTTGCCGTTTATTTCAATTCAAAGTGTATCTTGGGCCAAAGATCGAGATGGACCCAACGTGGCGAGGCCGCGGGGCCGTGGAGGCAGATCGTGAGACCGAGATGAGCGGGTGGAGTGAGGATGAGAAGCTTCGATTCATCTACGAGATGCTGTCGATCATGGGCGAACAGCAACGGCAGGAAGTGGAGGACATCCAGCAGATCAGCGCCACAGTGGCCGAGATTGGCCATCTCATTCCCGCCACCAGCGAGATGATGAATCCCTGTGAGCCTCGCCCTCTTGGCGATTCGAATGGCACAGGTACGCAGCTTGTGCGTTCTTGAAATCTGAACGAAGTGTGCCATCCTCAGATCTGTATTGTTCGTGTAGCCGAGGACCAAGATCCAAGGATGGGAGAGGAGGAGCTGGAAGGGACCGAAGCACAACTGCCGCCGCAGCCGGAGCCGCCGAAGAAGTTTGGCTTCGACGCCGCTTTCGCCCAGAGCAAGAAGAAGCGCGAGCGGCGGCAGCGCCTGCGGGCCAACCGCCAGGCCCTGCGCGCCGCGGCCGGCCAAGACAACGAGCAACAAGCCTGCTGACGATGGCGAAGACGGCGACGATGACGCTGCCGCCATTGGCGACGGACTCCCACATGAAGCGGATGGGAAGTTGAAGGAGAAGGAAGATGAGGCAGAGGTGCCGACGTCATCTGGCAGCCCAGCGCGAAGAGAAAACGGCGCGGCTGTGATGAACGTGACACCGCCGGCGGCTGGAGCAATCGATGACGGACACGAGCGAACCACGAGCGGCCGCAGGACTGCGGCGACGAGAAGCGACGACCAGGAGGGAGTGGTCGAGGACCAGCAGCACCAGCACGTGATCAGCCGACTCGAAGCCCAGCTCACCTGGGGCAAGGAGCGCGGCGTCATCGGTGCTCCGAGCGGGGTGGCCGGCGATATGTCGCCCACCACCTCTCCCTCTTCCTCCGCTTCCTCATCAGCAGCCTCGTCCGTCTCCAATTCGGCGGCTAACACCGCCACTTGGCTGCCAGATATGCCCCGGGGCGAGGAGCCCACCACCACTGTTGGCGCGGTTGAACCGGGTCACGCGGCGGCCGGCGCGGTGAACGTGGCGGCGGTGGACCCCGAGCGATTACAGAGCATCGAGAACGCGCTCAAGGAGCTGAACACGCGATTGGCCACCTGGCACGCCGAACGAGAGGCTCTTCCCGCCGCGTCACCACCAACACCCGCACCCGCACCGGCGGCGGCGCCGTCGTCTTCATATCCGTTGTTAGCTGAAGAGATCGAGCGCAAGCTGGCCAAGGTCCCTCCTACTCCAAGTGTGGCGGTGGTGAGGAGTGACAAGCTGGTTGACTGACCACCTTGTGCTGGCCGAACCCACATGCGCAGGTGGAAGCGCAATCGGATGCGGTGCTGGCACTGCTGCGTAGTAGGCAAGCCGAAGCCGAAGCCGAAGCTGAAGCCGACACCACAACTGCAGCGACGGCGAGAGCGGAAGCCGTAGTGGCAGCGCGGCAGGCCAAGGGCAAAGCAGTGGACCACGGCCACAGTAAAATTCGAGAGACAGGCGAGGTGGAGAAGGAGAAAGAGAACCAACTGGCCAAGAAGCAGGACGCCTCTCTGGAAGAGCTCCGTGAGCTGCGCAAGGACGTCCTCGCCATCAAGGTACCCCATGCGCGCCTCTGTGTCGTGTGTGTGTGTGTGTGTGTCGTGTGTCGTGCGTGTGTGCGTGCGTGTGTCGTGTCGTGTGTGCGTGTCGTGCTGGGTGATCATGCCTGAGAGGCGTATCAACTACTCAGGAGCGGCTACGATCAGTGAGCACAAGGCCGGCCCGGCGGTACTATGCGGATGATGCACGCGACGCGGTAGGAGGAGGCCACGTTCAGTACTATGCCGTGGCCGTCCTGCTCGCCATCCTGGTCGTGCTCCTTCGCATCGTACTGTTGGGCGCCCACTGATCTGTCACCGCTCAATTGAACCTTCTCACCACTAAACGTGTGGGCAGTGCACCTTTGAGATGGGCAGGGAATTGGAGAATTGAATGGGTAATGAGAGCATCATTGATGCACAGCAGGCTTGGAATGTAACCCATACATCCCATGTGCTTATAGACTGTTTCCTCTTTGGTGCAATTCATGAGGGACTGAAGCACTTGGTCGTGAAGGTACATACAAAAGGGCAGAGCCTGCCGCCACGCCAGTATGAATCGCGACGAGCTGCGTAGCTCCTTGTTGTGGTCGCCTTTTTTTTTTGATTTATATATTTTCCTGTCCTGCGGTTTGGTGAAAGGTGGCAGGAAAGAAAGAAGAAAAGCAAACAAGAGGCCGGCAGGGAGCCATTAGATTGGACAAAAAGAAAGGTTCACGCGCAGCACGAGGAGCATGCAGAGAAGAGGAGGAAAGGGCAAACCGGCAAGCAGCAGGTGCGGACCCCTGCTCTTTGATTCATCGCCTGCGCACTGAATCCAATTTTCATGGTTTTGATTTATTTTCTTAAATGAAATAATCATCCCATTGTTGCAGCAAAGCGGCAACGCTGGTGGCCACCGAAGGCGAATATCGCGGCTTCATTCGTGTCACCGCCGGCGATGACCTTGGGGTGCCCCCCCCCTCTCTTGCTACACCATCTGCAGATCACCCTTGCGCTCATCTTACATCCCACATCTTTTTTTTCTTGTGCTTCGTTGCCGCTTCATCATTCATGCTGCCCCACAGCAACTCAGCAGCAGCGAGTTTCAGCTGGCCTTCAAGAAGCTCAACAAGCGCGATTCGGTGACGAAGCTCAAGGGCCTGCAGGAGCTCAAGACCCTGTTCGAGGACATCGCGGGCAAGGGCGAGGACGTCGATGCCGTCATCCAGGCGTGGGTCTACTCCTTCCTCCGACTGGCCGCGGACGACGATCCCAAGGTGCGCGTGGCCCTGTGCAACACCTTTGCCGGGCTCGTGCAGGCCGTCAAGAAGAAGCTCGCCGCCCAGCTCAAGCGCATCATGGTACGATCTAGCGAGAGACCTTTTCGTTGTTGTTGTTGTTGTTGTTGTTGTTGTTGTTGTTGTTTGCAACCAATGGTAACAATGAACTGGTACTGCGGCCTCATCCAATTGGCTCGAATTATAACAGGGCACGTGGCTGTGCCTGCAGTTCGACCAATCGAACGAGGTTGCCAACGCCGCCAAGAAGGCGTTCCAGGTTCGATGTCAACTCTCAGTCAGAGCGCGATGTTGTGTGGAGCTCACCACTCTCACTGACCTCATGTCGCTGGTGATCGTTGCCTTTTATGTTGCACGCGTGCGCAGGTGGCCTTCCCCGCGAAGAAGCACAGCGAGGCGCTGCTGTTCTGTAAGGCGGAGATTCTGGACCACTTCGAGGCCAACTTTGCGCAGACGCCCCAAACGCTGGGTACCACGATCGCTGCGCCTTTCCCTCACGTGCCCCTTGTCCCCCCTTTGCCCCTGCAGGACCACCTCTCACACTATTCTCGTGCGGCCGCGGTTATGTTCAAACGTAACAGCCAACGAAAATGCCAAAGAGAAGGCCGAAGACCGATACTCCAACCTCATATTCTCCTCCATCCTCGCGTTCCGCTACTTCCAAGGTACCGCTCGCCGGACACCATTCAAGCGCACGTTGGTGCTTATCTCGTTTTCGGTGTGTGTCGTGTGTCGTGTGCGTGCGTGTGTGTCGTGCGTGTCGTGCTGTGTGTCGTGAGCAGAGACGATTCCAGAGGCTGAGAACCAGGCGCTGGCCGAGAGCCGATATAACGAGCTCCTGGGCAAGAAGTTCTGGAACTTCCTGAAGGACAAGAAGCACCTCCTCATCCGCCGAGCCGCCTACCAGTTGCTCGCCACAGTAAGCCACAAGGCTCGACGTACGTCTCACTCAGCCACCTCACAGCCGCCTCTTTTCGTTCTTTCTTTCGCCGAAAGACTTTGTCTGGAATCTGAATAAGTCTCGCGCGACTGATCGCTTTTCTATTTATTTATTCCCTCCTGTGCCGAACCAGCCTACGTGGAGGCCAACATCTCCTGGCTCACCCCGGTCGTGGTGGGTATGCTCAACGACACGGAGAGCAGCAATCAAGCACACATGTGGGAGGCCCTGCTGACCTTCTTCAAATGTACGCGCCCCACCCCCCAAATAGCTCAGTGTCTTCTTGCTTCAACTCACCGTGAGGCCCCATGGACTCGTCACGCAGACTACCCCGAGGCCTGGAGCCACATCAACGCGCGAAAGCAAGTGCTGGGTCCGCTGTGGGTCATCCTTCGAAACGGCACCAGCGGCTCGGCCGCCGTCACCTATCCCTCGCTCCTGCCCCTGATCAGGTTCGTACGGCGCACGCCACCGATCTTCGGTGGTGAGTAGTTCGTTCGGGCAAGCACGTGCTGGTGTGTGTGGTGCTCACTCGCTTGCTCGTGGCGAGTAGTTTGATTCCGAAGGAGGTGGTAGGTGAGGGGACGGGCTTCCACAAGGAGTTCTTCTCCAACCTGTGGAAGGGGCTCGCCAGCGAAAACTTCTCCGATACCTCCGCCACGCGGCTCGTCGCGGCCTACATGGAGTGTCTCCTCTACTTCATCTCCCTCGATCTGTACGCAGTCATCGCCCTCTTTTCTTTTCTTTTATGGTGCGCTCACTGGTGGTCGCTGACGACACGACAGCCGAAACGATGAGAGGGAGGAGAGCGAGGCCACGGACATCGCCCAGTACCTGGTGGCCAATCAACTCTTTGATGCCACCCACTACTACCTCACCACCGACAAGGTATATATTATATTATATGAAATTTATTGATGTATTGCATTCCCTTCAATGCACTAGCTTACGCTGGAATGTCATGTATGTTGGCTCCAGCCTCCTTCTGCGCTCGTCAAGTCGATCAGCGGCCTCGTGGGCAAGCTCGTTGCAAAGGACGCCCAAGGTAGCGCCTGCCCCCTACTCAGCCTTGGTCCTGTCGTCGTTATTTACCAAGCTTTGGGGGGGGGCAACAAAATTGCAGACATTGTGAAGGCCTATTTCATCAAGCTCGGCGATGACGCCAAGGCCGTGTTCAGCGAGAATCAGGACAACCTGCCCCTGGCCACCTACTGCAGCCGCTTCTCCGAACTGCTGTCGTCGCTGGCCGCTCTCCTCAGCTCCTCGGTACGCAACCTCCCGCGGATGATCATCAAGCCCCCCCTGGCACTCATTGTTTTCTCACGCATCACTGTGCGCGATCAACACACACACACACACACACACACAACAGGAAAACACATCGGGGTCGGCACTCGAGCAGGTGCTGCGGGAGGTGGTCGGGACAGCGCTGCCGCGCGCCAGGGAGGATACGACCGAGACCGCGTGGGTGCGGATGCTGACCGAGCTCGCCGCCTCGTTCCCCGCGCTCGTGTTCGGCTCGGCCGCCGCCGAGTCGGAGGCGCCCAAGGCCTTCTTCGCCGACGCGCTCCTCCCGTGGGTCACCTCCTGGGTTTCGTCCGAGGCGCGCGATGCTGCCTTCACCCCGGTTCTCTTCGACCTGGTCCACCACTACCTGCAGCACATCGCGGCTGCTGGCGGCGACCACCAGACGGCGCTGCTTCACGACCAGTGGGAGTCGCTGGTCCGCGAGGTGATCGCCACCGGCAAGCCCCGCCTCCTGCTGCTGCTCCTGCAGAAGGTGTGCCGCGGCACCGCCAACGAGCAGTGGGCCAGCAGGCAGCTGGACGAGCACGCCACGCACCTCTTCAACGCGCTCCAGGCCGGCGCCGCTGCCGTGGGCGACGACATCGAACTGTCGCTCCTCCGCTTCCTCATCGCCGGCAAGGACAACCAGGCGTCGCCGCTGCTGTCGGCCTCGTGCCTTGCCCAGATCGTCGAGTCGCTGTCGGCCAGCCTGACCGGCTTCCTCGACGGGCACTCGCTGGCGGCCGGCGCCGCGCTCGAGGCCGATGCCGAGCAGCTGGCGTCGCTCAAGGACGTGCTGGTCCTCGTGCGATCGGTGGCCTCTGCGCGTCTGCCCGCTGGGCTCCAGCGCAGTCGGGCCTCGCTGCTCGGCAACACGGTCTTTCGGCTCCACCTGCTCGCCCAGCTGTCGCCTCCGGGCGCCGACGCTGCGGCTGCCTACGCTGACGTCAACTCGACCGCGCTGGCGTCCCTCTCCGCCTTTGCCACGTCACGCCTGCGCGAGGAGGAACCCGAAACCGCCGCGGCCTTCCGCGCCTACCTGGTCTCGTCGCTCCACGAGGCCGTCCTCCACGCAGCCCCCACCTCGATCGCTGGTATGGCCACCGCTTTCGTGTGCGCGTGCGGTGGTGCGGTGGTGCGTGTGCGTGTCGTGCGGCGAAATGACAGTTTTCGTGCTGTGCTGTCGTGTAGCTGCGAGCGATGTTGCAGTACAGGTGCGCAAATGGACCGAGTTGGACAAGGTCAAGTCGTCGGCTGCGGAGCTGGTCCTCGACCGCGCCGAGTGGGAGAAGTCCCGTGACGCCGTGCCCTCGGCCATCGACGGCCGCGACACCTCGTCCCTCTTCCTGCGCCTCACCGGTGCCGTCACCGGCAAGGGCGACGAGACCAACGACGCCGCCACCGCCGCCGAGACCTACGCCTGCATGGCCCTCTTCGCCACCGAGCTCCTGCAGCGCCTGTCCGCCCCGGTGCTGTTGGCCGGCGGCGGCGACGACCAAGCCACCAAGCCGCACGCGTGGCTCATTTCGGCACTGCTCCAGTCCTACTCGCTCTCCGGCGTGTCGCTCTTCTCCGTCGACGAGAGCGAAGACCTCGGGCCGGTCATCTCCCAGTCCCTCCTCTCGGGCTCCGCCGCCAATGCGGCCGAACCCGACGAGGAGGACGAAAAGCCCAGGTATCCAAACCCTGCAGCGTGTCGTGTGGTGTGGTGTGTGCGGTGCGCGTGTGCGATGACATGTTGCCTGACTCTTGCTGGCGTGTTGCAGCAATGATGTGTGGAGCCTGCTGGCGAGGCAGGCGCCTCGTGGCGTGGCCCTGTTGGCCAAGTTCATCACCGACCAGGCGAAGGCCGACACCGAGCCCAACGCATTCACGCGTGACCTGCTCCAGCACCTGATCGACGAGGCGCAGCAGCGCGGGGGCCTCAGCGCCCTGTCACTGGCCTTTGTGCTGCGTCTCCTCGTCGCACGCGCCGATCTCTCTTGCGAGGCCCTCGCAAGCGTCATCGTGCCCGCGCTTCCCCTCTCCTTCAACGCCAACGGTACGCGCAAGTCAGCTACGCTTTGTGTTGTGTGTTGTTGTGTGTCGTGTGTCGTGTTTGTTATTTCGGCTAACGCTCGTCGTGACCGCGCGCAGATGACAATTTCTACGGAAGGCTTGCCGCGGTGGAGGCCAGCATTCCGGTCATCGCCGGTGCGACCTCGGGGGAGGTGACGCAGGCGCGCGAGATCGCCGCGGCCACCTTTGCCTCGCTCAAGGAGGCCCAGACCACCAGCGAAGAGGACGCCCGCCGGGTTCTCTTCTCCATGGCCGCCCTCGCCGCCTTCTATTGGCCCCAGGCAGCCCCTCAGTCCGCCGAGGTACCACCGCCTCGCTCATCACCACCGGACACATGGACTAATGAGTTGCGTGTCGTGTCGTGTCGTGCGTAGCTGGCCGCACACATGTCGACGCTTGCGGGGCTGTTCCCCAAGGGCCGCTGGCCCAACGCTGCCGGCCTCCCCGCCGCGCTGTCGCGAGGTCTGCGCACCGGTGCCCTCCGCCTGTCGTTCGCCATCGTGACCAAGAGCGGCGCCACCCTCGACCGAGCGTCGTGGGACTTCGTGCTCAACCTGGTGAAGAGGTTCGTCTTCCCGCTCGCACATGCCACGAAGGCTATTTGAATCTCACCGGCCTTCGCCTGACTCTGCGTTGTGCGTGTGCGTGCGTGCGTGTGTGTGTGTGTGTGTGGTGCGTCTGCCACAGTGGCCTGGTGGACACGAAGGCCAAGGCCAAGGGGTCGTCAATCCCCGACGTGGCGGACGCGACCGAGGCGCTGCGTCTGCTGTGGGCCGTGATGCGCGCCTTCCAGGCCCTGTCCGCGAGCGAGCAGAGCCTGCCCGTCCCCGAGGAGAAGTACCACAGCTTCCTCTCGAAGCTTCTCCCGCAGGTCTTCGAAGTCTTCCTGGCCGGTACCTTTTCCCCATCCAATGACCTCCCACAATCACTGCGCGCGTCATGTCTGGCTAACCGCACACGCACACGCACCACCGCACACGCACACGCAGTGGGCCAGAGGCTGTCCAAGATGATGGAGCGCGACAATCCGCTCTCGGTGCTGCTGGAGCAGGTGGTGCGCAGCATGCCCTCCTCGCTGCTGTGCAAGCACATCAGCGGACGCGAGAGCGACGACTCCGTTCACGCCCTCCTCTCGTGCCCCGACTGGCGCCTCCAGAAGACGGCCTACCGCCTGCTCCTGCACAAGCTCATGGCCATCGCCGCCGTGCCCGACGATGGTACGCCTCTACACAACGTATTGTGTGTCGTGCGTGCCGTGCGGTCGTGCGTGTGTGTCGTGTGCTGACCAACCGGGTTTCAGAGGAAGGAAAGGACAAGGAGGCGGAGTCGGCCGAGGAGGAGAAGGAGGTGAAGGCGCCTCTGCCACCTGCGCTGCAGGAGCAGATCGAGCGGCCGTCGGAGGACTTCCACGGCCTGCTGGGCTATCTCCTGGGCTGGTCGCTCGTGCTCGACCACTGCACCCTGCGCTCGCCCGAGTTCCGCGCGCGTCTGGGCTCCTACCTGCGGCGCTCGTCCTTCTCGCTGCAGATGTTCATGCGCGTCCTCTGCCAGCACCTCGACCTAGCAGCACCCGCACGCCTCCACCTCCCTTCCGCCCCCTCAGTCCTTCAAAATCGCCGGTACGTCCCACAACCGTCACCGTGCGTGTCGTGCCGTGCATGCCGTGCGTGTTGTGCCGTGCTGTGCGTGCCGTGCGTTGGATGACGTGTCGGGGGTGACTGACATGGGGTCATGTGAGTAGATATGGTGTCGACGAGCGATGAGTGGATCGGTGCCTACGCGGCGCACCTGTACCTGCGTCTGCTCCAGGCCTTCCCCGCGCTCGTTCGTCTCTGGTGGACCGATGACTGCGACCGGCAAACGGCTGCCCTCATGGAAAAGTGCGTGGCCAGCGCTCCTCGCGGCCTTGATCGGCGTTTCGCTGACTCTTGTCTCTTCCCTGCCGCGCGTGTGTCGTGCGCCGTGTGTCGTGTCGTGTCGCTCGTCCAGGTACACGATGCTGCTGATGAGCCCCATCCTCATCGAGAACGAATTGGCGGCGATCGCCAACTACAAGTCCGAGGCGGGCAACTTCCAGGTGAAGGCCAGCAAGGTGACGCGCGAGGTCACCGCCACCTACGAAAAGGATGAGATGTCCCTTGCCGGTACGGCACACTCCCCATCCCCCCCCCAACGCTAGCACCCTCCACCTAATGCTGGTGTGTGTGTTGTGTTGTGTATTTGTTGTGTGTATGGCGACAGTCGTCATGCGCCTGGCGCCGTCGTACCCGCTCCGGTCGGTGGAGCTGGAGTCCAAGAGCCGGCTCGGTGTGAGCGAGGCCCAGTGGCGCAAGTGGATGCTCTCCATGACCACCCTCTTCCTCACCCACGTACGTACCATACATAGAGGGTCCACGCCGCCGCCGGGGCTTGCTTGACTCACGAGTGCACTTGTTGGGTCAACAGGACGGTACCATTCTGGACGGCGTGCTGCTGTGGAAGCAGAACCTGGACAGGCACTTCGAGGGCGTCGAGTGCTGCCCGATCTGCTACTCGCTCTTCCACATCTCAGACCACTCCTTGCCACGACTCGCCTGCAAGACGTGCCACAACAAGTTCCACTCTGCGTGCATGGTACCACCCACCACCCCACCTCCCGCTTTTTGCTCATTCTCTTCCTCTACGCGCACTAACGCGGTTTAATGCGAACCACGCACAACCACAGTACAAATGGATCAGGGTCTCGCACAACACCGACTGCCCTCTGTGCAAGACGCCCTTCAACTGAGCCAAGAAAAAGAAAGCGATGTCGCTTGTTCACCCTCTTCACCTGGAGGCAGGACAAGAACAAGAACGTTGGCCATGATTTCTTTTTCTTCGGTCATTTTCTCTTCCGATTTCCTTTTGGTGTCTTGAGACCTTCCACCCAAGGAACACGTTAGGTGGCCTTGCAGTCCTATTGACGTGTGGTGTGGCCAACGAAGTAAGACATCAGAAGAGAGACTGCGGGCGCATCTTCACACGCCGGCACATAGCGCTCTGTGTCGATCCTCGCCACCTACACCTACAGAACGTAAGGTACCTGCATTTCGATCAAAATTGAAGCTCCATCATCTTGCCATCATTGCCTGCAATTGTCCAAATTGCCTTGTCTCATCAGAGTGCGCAGGTGATCCGCCACAAGAAGGCGATACCCGCAACCCACAATGTCAGCACCAACGCCAGCACCAGTGCCGGAGAAGAAGGATGCGACCAAGGAAGTGGAGATGAAGGAGAATGGAGAGGCAACATCAACCACTGCACCCTCATCCTCCCCACCTCGTACTACCACTGCCCCTTCGACGCCTGCTGCCGGCAACAAGCGAAAAAGAAACGATGATGAAGGTGAGGGTGAAGTACAAGATGACCTTGCCGAGGACAGCCTGGCTGACTCTCCTCAAAGCGAAGAGAAGAAGGGAACCAAGCGCATGAAGGCACCTCATCCCTCTTCCCCTTCCTTCAAAATCGCTCGTTTGAATTACACTTCATTTGCATTTCTTTCTACCGCGATTGACGCCTTACCACTAGCGCAAGAGCAAATCGTGCTTCTCTTCTCGTGTGGCGCTCATACTTTTCTGTTATTTTTCGGGCAATTAGCTGTGCCCGTCTCGCGATTACTGACCCCACTCGATCGACACAGATGCCCGAGGCCGAAGATGCCAAGACAACCGGCAAGGGCAAGAAGGTCGCCACGAGGAAGGGAAGTCTCGAGGGCGAAGGCCCCGTCCTCAAACTCCTGCAAGATATCCTTTCCGCCTCTTTGTTCCCTCTCCCTCTTCTTGCGCTTCGCGTGTGCATGTGCGGTGCGTGTCGTGCGCTATCTCTGTGTGCGCGTGCCTTGTGTTCTTCACACACCTCTCCGTGTTAGAGCTCCTTGACTCCTTGTTCACGTATCGTGGAGCCGCTGGGCGATTTGAAGAAGAGCTTGCGCACCGGCAGCACGGCGGTGTCGGCCCTCTTGGGCGCCATCACCGCCGGATCGCAGGCGGGCGCTGCGGATCGCGCCAAGTCTGCCGGCGCCTACCAGCTGTACATATGGGGCAAACTGGTCGCGCAGCAGCCCAAGGTATACGACTCACTCACGCATCTCATCTCGATGTGTCGCGGACCGAGCCATTCGCTTACGCACTCCTCGTCGCTGTTTACAGAACACGGCCATGAGCGTGTCGCTGAGCGGACCCTCGTTCAGCATCGGCGGCAACTCTCGGTGCAGCCTCACCCTCTCCGATCCGGGCATCAGCAGCAGCGTGGTCTGCAAGCTGCAGAACTCGGTATCGTGCCGCACTGTTGTTTATCTCCATTTCAATGCTCACAATGGACGCCGTCGCTGACGCCGCCTTCGCTCATGTCGTGCTGGGTTTGCAGTTTACGACCGGAGTGGTGCAGATCGAGGGCCAGACGAGCAGGGACATCCTATTTGTCAACCGCAAGCAACTCAAGAAGGGCGTCAAGCAGCCCATCAAGACCGGAGATGAGATTTCGATCATCACCAAGCAGCAGACCTACTCCTTTGTACGATCACACATCAGCCCCTGCCCTGTCCACCGATTACGACTATCACCCGACTCATGACTCACCAGACCTCAACCCCCAACCCAACCATAACAGACCTTCCAGAAAGTGCGCTCGCCGTCGAAGCTGTCGCCGACGCCCGGCCTGGGCGCGCTTCCCTCTCTGCCTTCGCTGTCGCTGCTGGCCGGCGGCGGTCACCCGCACCTGTCGGGTCTGGCGCCGTCGCACGGTCTGACGGGCTTCCCCTCGGCCTCTACCTCGCCCTCGGCCTCTACGTCCACCACTCCTTCGTCGTCGGCGAATTCCTCCTCCTCCAGCTCATCGTCGCAGGCCGCGTCTTCGTCCTCATCTTCGTCGTCGGGAGGAGCGTCTGCCCAGCAGCCCGCCCCCGAGCCCGCGGATGCAGCTGCCCACGATATCTTCACGCTGGGCAACCTGCCCATGGCGTTCTCGATGCACCGCGGCTCCGATCTCAGGAGAAGGGCCGCTGCGCGCAACAACAAACGTACGTACCTCTCCGCCTCCGCCTCCGCGCTCTCTATTTCGTGTGTCATCACACGCATCTCGTTTGGTCGATCCTGTTGACACGTGTGTCGTGTGTTGGTTATATTTCAGGCCCGAACAGAATCCTTACGGTCAAGGGTGGCGAGATCTTTGGCGATCACTCGCCGCTGGGCCACCCGCGTTCGCTCATTCTCTCTGCGGGATTCGGCGGCGATGCCCCGGCGTCCAGCGCCAGCACGGCCCAGCCATCGGCCGCGGCCGTTGCCCAGAAGAAGGCGTGCAAGGAGGACCTCGCCAAGAACTTCTTCAAGTGGCAGGACATCACCACCACCTTCGAAGAGTTCCCCTATTTCGTCGAGTACGCGCTCTACCATCACCACCGTGACCTGCCTGCGTTTTCCAATTTGCAGTGCAACGGAGCAGGCCTAACCAAAAAACTATGACCACAGCAACGATACGAAGCAGATGCTGCTGAACTCGGCGTTCGCGTTCATCAAGAAGCCCGACCTGGTGAAGCACATCACCGACATCCCCTCCATCAGCAGGCGCATGCTGCTCGCCGGACCGCCCGGTATGCCTAAGGCCTCCCCTCGCGCTTTGCCGTATCTTCTTGCTCTTCGCTCACCTCAATCACCACCCCTCAGGCTCGGAGATCTATCAGGAGGCTCTCGTGAAGGCCGTCGCGCGCCACCTGCAGGCCAACCTGTTCGTCTTTGAGGGCTTCAAGCCGGTGGAGCCTGCCAAGACCGCTGCCGCTGCGACCAGTGCCACCACTCCCGCCCTCTCCGGCGCGGCCGCCACGTCGACCGACGTCGCCAAAGACAAGCCCGCCTCCGAGAGTGGCAAGCCCGCTGAGGAAACCGCTGCCGCCGCGACGGATGCCAAGGCCGTCGAAGCTAACCCGGCAGGAGCAGCCACCACTGCCGAGGCGAAGGAGGCCGCCAACCTGCCCGAGCGTACGCTCGGCTCGGCGCTGAGCCTGGCCTCGGCCATCAGCGAGCTGCTCTCGGTGACGGCGTCAGCGTCGGCGCCTGCGGGCATCGCCGGTGACCACATGGACGACGAGGATGCGGACGGCGAGGCCGGCGACGAGGACGAAGCCGACGGCGAGCTCGAGGGCGACATGGACGCCTTTGACGATATGGACGAGGACGAAGACTCGGACGCCGATGACGATGACGACATGGAGGGTGACGCCTGGTTCGGCAAGCGCTCCGACATCACCAAATGTATTCCTCCTCCGCCCGCAACGCGCATCAAAAGACATGCCGAGCTGACCGTGTGTGTCGTGTGTGTCGTGTGCAGCCCGGAGGACCAGGTTCGGCCCGCTGTCGGGACTGAGTGCTGCTGGAGGCTACTTCGGTGACGGCCTGCACTCGAAGGTGCACCAGGAGGAGCGCGATTCGCAGGAGAAGATCAACGTGTGCGTCTTCCCGCCATGACCGCCCATAATTTTTGTGTTTAATAGTTATTTTCCCACCCCCGCGCAGTGAGGCGCTGTTCGAGCTGGTGACTGCCGAGGAGAGCATGCCGTGCATCCTCTACCTGAAGGACACCGAGAAGACGCTCCTCACGTCTTATGAGCGATACGCCAACTTCAAGCGGCAGCTGGACAAGATCTCCGCGCCCCTCGTCGTCATCGGCTCCTCCATCGTCTCCGCCAAGGGTGCGTTTTCTTTCATTTTCTTCTTCCTTTCTTTCATTATTGCTAACGTTGTTGTTTGTGTGACGTTGCAGGGAAGGGAGACAAGGCGCCCGGTGGGTTCCTGCTGTCCAAGTCGGGCGGCGGGACCACGCTGTTGGACTTTGCGCTGTTCGACCACATTTCGCGCATGGAGGAACGCGCCCGGGACACCTCCAAGGGCGCCCGCATCCTCTCGCGACTGCTGCCCAACAAGATCGTCGTCAACCCGCCCAAGGAGGGACCCGAGCTGCCCAAGTGGTGCGTCGTTGCGCTGGCGCGCCGCACGGTCACCGGTTGCTCGTGTGTGCTGACTCGGTCATGCGTGTATATGTGGTACACAGGACGAAGCAAATCTCGAAAGATCAGCAGGACATGAAGCAGCAGCAGAACAGGGCGGCCATCAGGAAGGTGCTCGAGAAGAACAACATCGCCATCATCGAGGGCGAGGAGGGCCTCAGGTCCAGGCCTCTCCGCGAGCAGGTCTTCACGAGCGACAAGGTGGAGAAGATCGTCGGCTGGGCGGTGGGTCACCACCTGGTCAACAGCGAACAGAAGGGCCAGGAGGTGAGGATGGATGGCACCAAGCTCATGCTCCCCGCCACCGCCATCGACCACGGTATCCGCATGCTCAACAGGATCCAGCCCCTCGCCACCAAGGTACCCACTCTTGCTCTTCTTTGCGCCTGTGTGCGCGATGGTGCGGCGGTACACAATGCGTGTGCGGTGTGTGCGGTTGTGTGTGCGCGCGTGCGGGATTAGGGCTAACATGTGATGGATGCAGACCTCGCTGAAGGACGTGCAGACTGACAACGACTTCGAGCGCAAGCTGCTGGCCGAGGCCATTCCGCCCAACGAGCTGGCCGTGCGATTCGAAGACATCGGCGCCCTCGACAAGGTCAAGGTAAGTCAGTCGCACACCACATTCTCCCGCCTGAGTCGTGTGTATCGTGTGCGCGTGTGTCGTGCGTGTGCGTTGGCCTAATCTCGGTCGCGATGTGTGTGCTACAGAACACGTTGAAGGAGCTGGTGATGCTTCCGCTGCAGCGACCAGAGCTGTTCCGCAAGGGCAATCTCACGAAACCGTGCAAGGGCATCCTCCTGTTCGGCCCGCCCGGTACCGGCAAGACCATGCTCGCCAAGGCCGTCGCTACCGAGTCCGGCGCCAACTTCATCAGTACGTACCTCGCGTCACTGACTCCTCACTCCTCGCTCTTATGACGTTCGCGTTGCTTACGACGATCAATGAACACACACCACACACACACGCCATAGACTGCTCGATGTCGTCGATCGGCTCGAAGTGGTTCGGCGAGGGCGAAAAGTATGCGCGCGCAGTCTTCACGCTGGCCAGCAAGATCTCGCCCTGCGTGGTCTTTATCGACGAAGTGGACAGGTACGACCCATTCAATGCGTTCATCCACCGCCGCGTTCGGGATGCTCACCACACGACACACACGACACACACGACACACATCCCGATCACACCGATCACACACACACACACACACACACACGACAGCATTTTGGGAAGCCGTGAGAAGTCGGGGGAGCACGAGGCCATGCGAAAAATCAAGAACGAGTTCATGAGCATGTGGGACGGCCTGAAGACGAAGGAGAACGAGCGCGTGATCGTCATGGCCGCCACCAACCGACCCTTCGATCTCGACGACGCCGTGCTCCGCAGGATGCCCCGTCGCCTTCTCGTCGATCTCCCCGACGCCGAAAACAGGTAACCGACCACACGCACACGCACACGCACACGCACACGCACACGCACACGCACACGCACACGCACACGCGCTTACGTGGGTGGTGAACGGGGAACGTACAGGCAAAAGATCCTGCGTGTGATCTTGGCCAAGGAGGAGCTCGAGCCCGAATTCGACTTCAAGGCCGTGGGCGACATGACGGAGGCTTCTCCGGCAGCGATCTCAAGAACCTCTGCATCTCCGCCGCCTACATGCCCATCCGAGAAATCATCGAACAGGAAAAGGTACGCACCACAGACACACACCACGACACACACACACACACACACCACACACCACGACACACACGGTGCTGATGTATGGCGTGACATTGCAGAAGGAGGGCAAGGAGATGGACCTGACGAAGAAGAGCAAGAGGAGCAAGAAGAGCGAGAAGGGAAAGGAGAAGGCCGACGATGCGATGGTGCAGGAGGAAGAGGAAGACGATGATGAAGACGATGAGGAGGAAGACGCGGAGGAGCGTGAGCCGCCGGTGATCCGTGCGCTCGGGATGGAGGACTTTGTGAAGGCCAAGAAGGAGAACAGCGCCAGCGTGCACGAGGACGCGCGGGCCGTGGGCGAGCTGCGGAAGTGGAACGAGATGTACGGCGAGGGCGGCAACGCGCGAGGCAAGGACCTCTCCTACTTCCTCTAAAGCTAGACGTACCCACCACCACCACCACTACACGAGCCGCAGACAACAACAACAACGAGGAGGAGGAAAACATGATGAAGAGTAGAGGGGAAGAAGAATAAAACGTGGCATACACTACGACAACTACATCAACAGAACACACCACGCGCACTCAGCAGGCCGCGCTGGGCGCGTGGGTGGCCAGCATGCGCAGGAAGGGTCCCACGCTGAGTGGGCCGAGTAGGTGCGAGGAGATGTCCTGCACCATTGCAACACAGCCAACAAACCAACGTCAGAGGAAGAAGGCTTGCCGGAAGAGGAGACGCGTACCTCGACCCAGTTGCCAATTTCGATGTGTGCGTGCGGTGTGGAAAGCCAGCGGCCGAGCTTCTGCTTGAGGTCACTCGCGTGGCGCTCCAAATGTCGCCCGAGCTTGGTATTGAATTGCCCACGCCACGATGACGATGTGTGTAAGTCTCTCGAAAACTTCGGCGTAGAGGTCTGTTCGAACGAATGACGTGGGTACCTCGGCGTTGTCAAGGCAGAGGGCAAAGTCTTCGGCGTCGTCCTCCCGGCCCAGCTCCCACCGTTCGATTTCGCGCCACTCGCGCTCGGCTTCGTCGACGCCCGCCGCCAGCCCGTCGACCCACGGGTCCAGCCCAAAGTGCGCGTAGCGCGTCTTCACCAGCGCGGCGATGAACCGATTCCCGCCGTCGGGGCCTTGAGCCTCGCTGCCGCTGGCGTAGTCGAGGTTGATGAGAGGGTCGGCGGTGACCAGGTGTAGATAGTGGGCCAGCGCCTTGATCTTGATATCGGTGGGCCAGTCCGTATGCACGGGGATCGGATGCTGCATCACCGCCTCGCGCAGAGCTACCTGGGCAGTGTGTGCGGTGCGGTGTGTGCGGTGTGTGTCAGGAGCGAGTGTGGTGTGTGCGGTGTGTGTGGTGTGTGTCAGCAGCGAGTGGTGCGGGCGACAGAGGGAGCGTAGTACTTCGTCCGATTCGGTGTGCACGCTCACCGAGATGCTGACGTCGTCGCCCACCACCGTCACCTCGTGAAACCAGTACGGGGGCAGGTAGAGCCTTCTCACGCGAGTCAACTTGTGCGATCGCATACCACACACACGGCACACAAGGCACGGCACACGCAACACGCAACACGACACGCGTGCAACACGTACACGTCACCGGGATGCAACACGACCTCGTGCGGCCGCATCTTGGCGTAATCTGGGCAGAAGCAGTGGGTGGTGAGCGTGCGATCCAGTGACGCTGCAAGTGTCGCTCCAGACTCGCGTGTTTACCGGGGAACGCGGAGGAGACGTTGACGCCGGACTGCTCCAGTACGGCCGGGTCCACCTGCGACATGCGGGTCGAGGGGTGCAATCGGGGGAACAGGTAGAGGTACGGCCACTGCTCGGGCGAGTACAACCGGAACCTCTTGTGTCCTGCGCCACACACACACACACACACACACACACACACACACACACACACACACACACACACACAGCTGTTGGCTATCGCACACGCACACGCACTACCGCACACACCATCGCACACGCAGGCGAACCTTGGACTTGGACGTAAAAGTTGTGGAGCAGGTCGTAGTGGGTGGGCGTGCGGATGAGCGGGCCGCCCACCCACACGTTCGTTTCCCACACCAGCCGCCACCCCACCGTAAGAAACGACCTGCCCGTCCCGCCAAAAAAGAACGAAGCACGACAATGAAGACAAAGAACGAAGCGTTGGCAGAGAAGAGGGGGGGCGGCAGCACGCACTGGTCGCCCACGTCGACCTGAACCGAGGCCGGCAGGGCGTCGAGGCTGCTGAAGAAGTAGGCGAACTTGCGCTGGTCGCCGCCCTTGTTCCCGCGCGACAGCGCCATGAACTCGTCCGACGTCATCAGCTCCTCCTGCGCGTGTCGTGCCGTCGTGTGTGCGGTTGATCATGCGTGTGCGGTCGTGTGTGTGCGGTGGCGTACGGTCCATGGTCGGTGCCACTCGAGGCCGGGAAGTGTGCCCATCGGCTGCACGCCGCTGTGCATGCGCACCGTCGGCAGGCCGCTCACGTGGACCTTCAGCGGACCGTCGGCCCCGAGCGACGCGGCAAAGTCGTCGGCTTGGTGGTTGGTGGCGGGCGCCCACCTGCGCATCGCCGGCCACGCCTTCACCTGCGCGTGTCGTGTCGTGTCGTGTCGTGTCGTGTTGTGAGTGGCGCCGCACGTGCGTCGTGTGCGGTTGTGTGGGGGGGGGGTACGGGCGAGTTGCGGATGAGGCGAGGCTTGCCCTCGGCGAGACACGCGGTGGCGAAGTCGTGGCCCACCTGTCCTTCATCGGTAGTTGAAGATGACGACAGCGGGAGCGACCACACCTCGACCGGAACGGCGTGCGGTGCCGTCAGATCCTTCGTCTCATCGAATTCGTCATCTTCAAATCGAGAGCGTAATCGCTCCAGCAATTTGGGTACCAGCACAGATTGTGGATTGGCAGAGAATGGAGGGGCGACGTGGATCTCTCTGGAGAAGAGGGTCCAACAGGCGAAGAGGGCCACGAAGAGGGGCAGCAGAACGAAGGCCACCATTCTCCATCTCGAACCTTCGCTCTTCGTTGTTGCCATCTTTTTGAAGAAATCAAAAAGGAAAGAAGATCGATTGATGAGATGAAGAGATCGAAGTGGTGAAGAGCTCACGTGATTCATTTCGAAAAGGCCAAACCGAACGCTTGCTCAGGCAAGGTCATCTTCAGCTTCAGCTTCAGCTTCGCTGGGAGGCACAGACTTCGCAGCAGAGGAAGGTGGGCTTGTTGACGTAGGTGCACGCCTGGCAGGACCACTCCTCCTCGCCCGGTGGTGACGAAGAAGAAGAAGAGGTCGTCGTCAACGTCGTGGTGGTGGCCGAGAGGGCGATGGCGGCGGCGACGTCGTCGTCGTCTTCTTCAGCTCCGCCGACGTCGGAGGGCGCCAGATCGAGGAACTCGCCCAGCTTGCCCTTGGGCGACCGCGAGACCACGTACTGAGCCGCCTCTTCGTCGCTGATCTCGTCATCGTCGCTATCATCGTCGCCCGTGTAGTTGTGCACATTCTCATCCAATCGCCTGCACGAGCCAACACGTCATAAGTCCGTGTTCCACCCAAAACCGCACACAACACACACGACACGCACACGCACACGCACACGCACACCACACACACCACACACGAAGGAGGTGAAGAGGGCGGTACCTGTTGGCGCGGTCGTTTCGCTTGAGGATGAGCTTGGCCTGGGCGTTGAGTGCGCTCTCGTCGAAGGTGATGTCGTCCTCGTAGATGCCGACCTGCCCTCGGCCCGTCTCGTCGCGCACCTTGTCGAGCAGGGCGTAGCCGCCGCCGGACACCATCGCGTTGCGCTGTCGTCGGGTCTTGCGCGCGTTGTAGTCGGTCCGTCGTCGCACCTTCAGCTCGCGCTCCATCCGCTCCTTCTCGGCCTTCTCCATGCGCTCCTTCTCGAGCTTCTCCTTCTCCGCTGTTCGCTCCACCGTGCCGGCCTCGGCCACCTCCGACGTCTCCTGCGTTCGCAGCAGCTCTGCGTCGATGTCGACTTCATCACCGTCGTCATCGTCGTCATCGTCGTCGTTGTCGTCTCCCTGTTCGAGCTTGCGCGCGGCCTTCTCGCGCTCCTCTTCCTTGAGCTGCTTGAAGTGCTCGTTGGCGGTCTTGAGCAGCGGGTCGATCGTGTTCTTCTGGATGTGGTGGGGCGGATTCCACTTGACCCACTCGTGCGCTCCGTGCTCCGTGCGACGCACCACCGGGAAACCTGGCGACACACACACACACGACACACACACGGTCAGAAATGCCACACTTGGGGTGGCGAGCTGGGCGGTGGTGGTGGTACCGGTGGGGTCTCGCGCGGCGGTGTCGTTGATGTGTCCGATGAAGATACGGAGGGTCTTCTCCACGGTCTTGCCGCCCAGCCGCTTGTACACGGGGTAGTAGGTCTCGGCGTAGGAGAAGCGCGAGTCGACATGGATGGCGTCGGCCTCGATGCCCGTCTCCTCCTGCACCTCGCGTAGAGCGCACTCGCGGTCGGTCTCGCCCGACTCGACGTGGCCCTTGGGCAGGTCGTACCGTCGGCCGTGCTTCATCAGCAGAAAGTGTCGCGAACCCGCTACGTCCGCGAACAAGAGGAAGCCGCACGAACGCATCTTGGGCATCGATTCATTTTGAATTGGCTGCTTCGATGGCGCCAGCTGCTCGGTCGTGGCGGGAGCAGCAGTCGGCTGGTCTTCTCCTTCATCTTCTTCGCTGGCAGAGGAGGAAGAGGCGCTATCATCCGAAGATGTGGTGGTCGTGGTGGTAGTCGTGGCGGCGGCCGCAGCAGCAGCAGCGGTGTCGCCCGAGCCGAAGACGTTGTCGATTCGCTTGTTGCGATCCCACACGACGACGTCGCCCTGGCGGAAGTAGTAGACGCGGTGGTAGGCGATGTCGCCGCCCTTGTCGATGGGCACGAACTCGTCGAGGGCGATCTCCATCATGCCGTCGAATCGGTCCAGGTAGCCGATGACGAAGCTGGCCGGGTCGTAGCGCCCCGTGTCCCACATGATGCGGTTGTACACGTCCTGTGACGTGCGCAGACGCTGCTTCTTCTTCAGCCGGCCGGTTTCCTTGTCCCTTCGCTTTTCGTGTGCCGCTCGCTCCATTTGTTGTTGCGTAATCTTATCGCAAATCTCGGTCTTCTTCTGTTCGGCTCAATCGCGATTCCTCTCGACGTTGTCCTCTGACAATAGTTTTCTCCTTCCGCCTCCAGAGATGTAAACGTGTCTAACTCGCTTGCCGCTTGTGCTTACAGCCTTACTTCGTTGATCGAATGAATGCAAATGCGAACGCGTTGGCATTTTGCCTGCGCGGCAGTGGAAAAATAGGAAAAAACTGCATTCACATAAAATCAATATGTTGCGTTTCCATGAAAAAAGCGCTGAGAAATGAAACGAAATGAACAAAATTAAAATTCAGAGAATGCATCAATATTTCGGATGCCATGGCTGAAAAACGTGAAATTAAAAAGGCACGTGCATGGTCACAATTCGGTGCGCCAATGCCAGACGACCCAGAGTTGTATTGGTCAACCAGTTAACTGGGAGCGAAAACGCAGAAAGTCCGTATCAACTTGACAACTGCCCAATAGCTAACTGGCGCATTTTAGGTTGCCGTTTTGCATTGGCTGCGGTTATTAAGATCTAAACGGGAGTGCTCGTCAATCTGCGCCCTTAAGTAGCTTGCAAGCAACTTTCCGCCCCTTTCCGCCTCTGGGGCCACGAGGCGGTGTCCCGCAGAAGCGTGTGACCGAACACAGTCCTGATGCCCGTGCGATTGGCTTGCAGCTTTCGCAGACCCGTTCATCCATTGGCTGGCGTTTTGATGCCGACGCCCAACTGGGTCACCGTGCGACCTCATGCTCGAGCTCGGTCGAGCCACGCACGCAAACCCCACGCCACATTTACTCGATGGCAGAGCTCCGCTCGTTCGTCTCGTTCACCACTTGCTCACAAAAAGGCCAAATCCGTTAAGTGTTCCGCGTGCTGGGTGCAATCCCGTCGATCAGGGCCGCTGCGAGATGAAGTGTCAGAGCTTTGTGGCGCGCCACAATGCTGGTAACACTCCCACTGGTCGGCCCAGTGCTCGAACCACACAGTCCTTGAAAATTCCCTACGGCCATCGAGTATTTAACCCACCACCCAATTGCCCTGGCCATTACCTCTCTTCCGCTTCGCTTCGCGCTCAAGCAGCTGACCAGACCTCAACCCCGCCACTTCCACTTCTTCGTCTTTCTTCTTCTCCATTCCCTTCTTCTTCGCCTTCGAGGTAGCGAACAATTGTGTGGGTCTAGATCGCCAACGATTGTCTCCGTCGCTCTCCAGTTGTAGCAGCGAAAGTAATCATCTACACAACAACAAAGAAGAAGATGCAAGCCGCCACAACTTCGACTTCGTCTTCGCACCACGTGTCGCCCATATCGTGCCCGCCGCAGGAGAAGCCGCAGGTGACCCTCGCCGACGTGCTACGCGGCGGAGCCGAGAACGACCGCCGCTCGCTCCAGGCCTACCTTCACACCCTGGCCGCCCGCGAGAAGGAGAAGCGCAAGCGCAAGCGCAACGACCGCAAGAGCAAGCGCTCGTCTTCTTCGTCGAGCAGCAAGCGGAGGAAGCGCAGCGAAGAGGAACTGAACGCCGCGGCCGGCGCTACTTCGTCTTCGGGCTCCATCGATTCGACGTCTTCGGCCAACTCGACCCCGTCGGGCTCCATCGACATGTCGGCCAACATGATGATGCGCGGCAGCGTCGACCTCTCCGCCATGCGCCTGGCCAGCAACGAGTACGACATGGGCGCCCATCACATGCGCAGCCGTAGCGTCGACTTTGGGGCTCTACGTTCAAGCACGGCCGCGTTCGATGCGATGCGGGCGAGCCTCGACATGTCGGCGGGCCGGGCCTCGGGCTGGGCCAGCACTACAGCCACCACGGTAGCTTCGCGGGCTACCAGCACCACGGCAGCTTCCACCACCCGAGCGCCCGGGCGAGCTGCGACTTCGACGCGACGGGCTTCGGGGCCGACATCAGCCCCACGTCGTCGTTCAGCATGGAGGCGGGTCCTGTCTTCCTCGAGCCCGCCCCCCTGGCCTCCTTCTCGGTCGACGAGCACTCGCCCCAGCCGCAGCAGCAACATCTTCATCAACAACAGATGATGATGAACCACGGTGGCGCTACGTTCCAGCAGCCGCAGCCCGTCCAGCAGCACTACGCGCAGCAACACCAGCAGCAGCAGATGCACACGAGCTACCCCCAGTCCCAGCAGGCCCAGGTGGTGACCGACCTGCCCGACTTCGAGGACTTTGTGAGCTCGGCCTTCCTCCAGGCCTTCCCCGACCAGGCCGACCCCACCCTCCTCGAGCCGGGCATCCCCGAGCAGCAGCCCTCGCCCGAGGCCCCAGTCCAGGCCGCCGCCGCCGCCCCGGTCTTCGCCGTGCCTGCCCCGCCGCAGCACTTCCAGCAGCGACAGCAGTCGCAGCACTACCACCACCCGCCCGCCCAGCAGCACCACCACCAGGCCCAGCCGAGCTGCAGCTGCCCCGACTGCCATGTGACTCCCGTCCACTCCTCGTCGACGCAGCAGCAGCACGGCAACAACAGCTTCGCTGCCGCGGCGGCGGTCGATGAGAACTCGCTGGGTCAGGCGGGCTTCGTGGGCGTGGAGGAGGACCAGGTGGAAAACTTCCTGGCCCAGTTCATCGAGTGGAGCGAGCAGCGCGGGGTGGCGTCGCCGTCGTCGGCCTCCTCCCCGGCCGTCTCGTCGCCGGCCACCTCCCTGTACTACTAGCGCAGCAGTACTTCTACCTTTCACCACCACTACCACCCCCGAACGTGAAGGTTGTCGAAGACCAAGAGAGAGAAAGCCCTCAGTATTCTGCGCAGAGGCGGAGATATCTACTTCTTTACTTCCCTACTTCTTCATACTCCTTATTTGAGTTTTTCTCTTCTTTTACACAACCACAACAACGCTCGTGTTGTACATATAATCATTGGCCACAAGTAAAACGTATCTTTCACATAAGTACAACAACTACCTAGACCTCCGTTTCGATCTCGTCTGCACCAACAGTATAACCAAGTTACAACTTCTAATTCTCTGCTTGTCACAGTTCAACAACACAAAACGGAAGAAATTGGGATGGGCCACGCCACGTTTATGAACATCAAAGAGAGGGGAAGAGGAGAGGCAGCAGAGAACCACCAAGGGTACTTCATCAAGGGATCAGAAGCCGGCGATCGAGTCGATGAGGAGCTTGAATCCCTCGAGGGCGTCGCTGTCGCCCGTCCTGCACGAGCACCAGCACACAGCCAACGCGGTACCACGCCAGCCAGTGAATCCCAAGGAGAGTCAGTCAAGGAGGCAAGGGACCACGACGCGCAGCACGGGGACCTGACGGAAATCGACAGAAAACAATCTCCGCTGGAAAACCCACAGCCAAACTCAGCGCAACCGGGCATGTTAATTGCCGGATTGAATTTGTAAAAATTTAGAAAAACACAAAACGATTGGTCAAAATTTAACCAACGTCGACAGAAATTGCGATTGGGGCAAACAAGGTCAAGGGAAGGGCGGCGTACTTTACGGCCTCGCACAGGGCGGGGATGTCGGTCTCTGGCGAGAGGAACTCCTTGCCCAGGTAGCGGATGAAGTGAAAGTCGGTGACGGCCAGCAGGAAGGGCTTGCCCTTGAACTGCAGCAGGTGCCGCTTGAGCGCGGCCATGTTCTGCGGGTGCTCCGGTCGGTTCTCGATCTCGAAGACGCACGACAGAGGACCCTCGTGGTTGACCACAGCGACCTGGTTGCGTTGAGTTGCAGCGTGTGCCATTGTCAAGCGCAACCACGACCACAACCACAGCAGCGACTCATCACCATTAGCGTCATCAACAGCACACGCCGCAGCGGCTGAGGGGAAAGTGGTGGGGGGGGGGTTGGTTGTCGTACGGGCTTGATGAGCACGTCGGGGTCGAGTTCGGGTGAGTCCTTGCGGCCTGCGCCCTGGCGGGCCATGGCCACCTCCTGCTTGGCCACCACCACCTTGGGGTCCTTGGGCGGTTTGAGGAGGTCGTTCTGCACGAGCTTCACGGCCTGGTCGGTCACCTGGAACGGCTCGAAGTGAACCTGACCCTCCTCGTCGGCTGCACCACCACCACCACCGCACACATGGCGTGAGTCGCCCGCGAAGACCACGTGAAGGTTGCATCGTGCGATGATGGTGGACCACGTACTTGAGACCTTGACAGCTATGAACGACTTGCCAGCGTCGCCATACTTCTTGATGGCCTCGGCGTTTTGCTGCGCGGCGCGGACCACTTCGTGCGAAGACATGATATAGTCTCGCTCGTCGTTGGGCGGCACCGTGAAGATCCACCCCACCTTGATGCACAGAAGTGAACAAATGAGAACGGATTTGAGACCTTGGGCGTACATGCCCGATTGATTGCCTGGTGACTGTACCTTCTGTACGCCCAGCGCATTGGCGATGGTGTCCACCAACTTCTCTTCCGCCGGGTCATCAAGCAGAATCGTCCCCGACGGGCTCTGCTCTTGTGGCGGCTCGTAGATGTACTCGGCTGGGAAGAGAACACGATCGCCATCAGCACACCAACACAGAGATAGCTTACTAACACAATGTTTGGGAGTGCAAACGCTCGAGATGTACCGGTGACGTTGCCGTCCTCCAGGTATTTGCCGTAGAGGTAGCCCTCGCGCCGTTTGAGAAACGCGAACTCCCTCGGGTACTGCTGAAACTTGTCGCACGAGGCAAAGTCTAGCGACGCCACCTTGCAGTGCGTCGTTTCCTGCATGGCCATCACCGCCACATGCGTCCAACGGTTGGTTGGTCACCGCACCGACCAATTCCTATGCAGTCCTTGCTCACCTGTGCCTTGAACACCAATCCCTGACTGTCCAGATGCTCCATCAGAGACTTGAGGTCCCACTTCTTCTTGATATTCCTCAGCTTTCTGTAGAGATGGGCACGGAGTGCGTGGGAAGACCATCAGCAAGGCGCCTGGCGTCGGGGAGTGGAGTGGGTGGTGTACTTGGGATCTTCGTCGTTGTTGATGGGCCGCTCGCCCGTGTAGGAGAGGAAGACCATCTGCCCGTGGCGGATGCCCAGGGACGAAAGCGTGTTGGCCCCGCTGGAGAGCACCTCCTTGCCGGCCCGATCCAGGCTGAGCGTCTGGTTGGCCACCGGGATCAGCGTCTTCTGTTGGACCTGCGTGTCGCGCGGCACATCGAGACGAAGAACGTGTTAACAAGATGGCAAGCCCCGGCCAAAGTATAAGAAAGGGCCACAGAGACGAGAGAAGCACAAGAGAGGGGAGCGAAGGGGCATTCGGTGAAGCGAAGGGCATAAAATCAATTAAAAAAAAGAGTAGAAGGTGAGGGTCTTGATGAAGATGGTGATGCGGCCAGCACCTTTTTCTTGAGATCCTGCACGGTCTCGTTCGGCTGCATCTCATACCTCTCCGTTCCATCTTTGGACACCAGACGGACAGTCTGCACAGAAAAAGGAGTAACAAACCCACATTGAGCCTCATTTCATCTTTTACAGCAATTCAGTCAGATGCCAGGGGCGGTGACGTGCCAGTGGTTCGCCCTGCATCTTCACTTCTGCTACGATCAGTCAGTCTTACTTGCACGAGATGCGCTCGATCTTGCGTTTTTGATTTGCGTGCGCAGCCCGCGAAGAAGTGAAGGAAAATGGCGTGGGAAAAATGCAGAAAAGTGTCGCATTCCTCAAATTGTCGTGTTGTGTGCGGTGCGTGCGGTGCGTGCGGTGCGCATGCTCTCTGATGATGTCCACCTCAAAGGCGATCAGCAAACTGGCGGTAACGCCGGTTCCCACAGCATTGCTCCTGGGGCTCTGCGTGTCCCTTTAACATGTTAAGGCCGGGCGAAAGGTTTGGGGGAGACGATGGCCGAAGATCTGGCCGCGACTCGCCCGCCTTTCGTCTGCTCGGCTGCGGTGCGTTAAGGGGCGGTGGGCCAGTATTTAAGCGCCCAGGGGTGCTCTGAGGTCGAGGCAACACAACGCAGCACACCACCCAAGACAACAACCCAAGCTACTCTGATCCAAGGATGAAGAACCAGTGCCTCGCTCTGCTGTTCCTCGGGCTGCTGGCCTGCGCCCTCGCCCAGGACAACACCGTGACCGTGACCAAGGCCACCGAGACCGTTCCCACCACCCAGATCGTGGGCAGCACCGCCACCACCGTATGTCCGCGCACCACGCACGCACATGCGCTTGCTCACGCTGCTTCCTTTTTGTACTGCAGGGAACAGTCGCTCAGCCTGTGCTCACGCTGTCGACCTCTTCGGCGTCCTCGCTCAGCCCGTTCTGGATGTTGTGAGCGCTCACAACAACAACTCTCACCCACTCCACCACCCGCCGCCATTTTATGATCCACAATGGACTATTTCGAGATCATTGCGTTTTTTCTTTTTTGATGGAATTTATAAATTTATAAACCGCACACACGCACGACGCAACACGCGCCACCTGTGGGTGAGGGAAAGCTGGGTACCCCAACTTGATGTGTGTCGCATTGGCCGGCTCCTCACGTTTGCCGAGCTTTGTTGAGCTTCGCTCGCACCATGAACTGCTCGCGCGAGAGCTGTCTGACGTGCTGTGGGAACACAAATCGACAGAGTCAACACCTCACCAGCACACCACCGTGGCCGAGATCGTGTGACGCAGCTCGTGGCGTGTACCTTGAGGTAGGTCGTGGCGTCGATGGTCTCTTCGGTGAGGGCGCGCATCATGTTGTACAAGGTGTCCTCCATGGCCGCGTCCTCAGCCTTCAGCGACATGATCCTGCGCACCAAATGGTTAACAAAAGTTGTGTGTGTGGTGTGTGCGTGGTAAGCGGCCGCACGTGAGATCTTTGGGGTTGCGCGGGTTGGTGGCGGCGTCCACGTCGAGCTGTTCGTCTTCCTTCCGTCGGTTGGATCGTTTGATCTGCGACACCATGTCCTTCACCTCGTTGTACTCGGCCGTCAGCCGCTTCTGCAAGCAGGACGGGTCGGGCTTATTATTAGTCCACAGAGAAAAGAAAAGAAAAGAAACACACACACGACACACGCTCATACCTTCTCCGCCTCCAATTCCACCGCCTTGCGCAGGTCGCTATAGCGCTGTCCCACCTTGCTCAGCAGCGCGTCACGCGCCTGGCTTTGCGAAGATCGCTGCGGCTGCTGTAGCGCGCTCATCGCACCCGTCGGCGGCGGGGCCGAGGTCACGCTCGTTGGCGTCGTCGCAGATGACGAGGGGTAGGGCGCGTGCTGCTGTTGTGGGTGGTGCCCGTAGGCGGGCGGGGGCACCACAGGGAAGGCGGCGGGCGACGACCCGGGACCAGCAGCGGGAATGCCGGTGGCCGACGTCGGGGTGACGGCATGGTGCTGGCCGTAGGCGGGAGGCGGCACGGCGGCCGTCATCTGTGGGAAGGCCGCGGCCGGGGCAGAGGTGGGCGCAGCGGGGAGGAAGGCGGTGGTGGTCGCGCCCGCGAGCGATGGGGCTGACGGCGGCTTGGCGCGCACGGGCGGGTCGGCGGCGAAGATGGCCTTCAGCTCGTTTGTCGCGCCCACCAGCGAACACACATCCGGCCGCCACCCTGCAACGCGAACATGGTAAATGAATATGAATAAGAATATGAATAAATAAGGGTTGGGGTACCGGAGAGGTAGGGGTGGTAGCAGACGCCGCCAGAGTCGACATGCTTGTGGTTGCTCTTGACCACCATGGTCTGCGCGTGAGCGTGTGGAAAATGGTTGTCAGTGGCTTCCACCGTCTGGAGCCGTAGGCCGGTGTCGTGCGTACCTCCGTTGGCGTCACTCTACAGATTGGTGGCGAATGCGGATATCCTGATGCAACACGCAACACGCACACGCACACGCACACGACACACGGCGTACGACGACCACCAGGCAACGGTTAGGGAGACGACGCGGTAAGGAAGACCATGTCAGAGTGTAGGGCGGGGTACCCTCTGGGATGGTGAGCTGTATGGGGATGTTGTACTGGGCGCCCTTGTACGAGATCGGCAGCGTTCCGCTCACCAGCAGCAACGGAGGAATGCCAGGCGCTGCGCATGACACAACGCACAGCACAGACACGCACGCACGCACGCACAAGCACACGCACACGCACGCACACGCACACACACACGCACACGCACCACCGCATACGCGACAGTCAGCAGGCAACAGCGGGAAGAGGGATGGTGAGGTGGCGGTGGTACCGACGACGGCGGTGTGAGGGTAGAGCGAGGGCCCAGCCTTGAGGAGCATCAGCACGTCGCTGCGTACACGCATCACGTCGCGATAGCGGCCCGCCACGAACTGCAGGTGGGTGTCCAGCGTCTGCTGCTGTTGCTGTGCCAGGAGCTGCTGCTGCTGCTGCTGCTGTTGGTACTGCTGTTGAGCGTGCTGCAGCTGGTGCTGTTGCTGCTGGTGCTGATGTTGAAGTTGTTGAGCATGCTGCAGCTGCAGCTGTTGTTGTTGGAAGAAGTGCTGTTGTTGCTGTTGTTGGTGCAGGTTCAGGTGCTGTTGTTGCTGCTGTAGCGGCAGCTGTGCTGGTGGATGCATCATCTGCTGCTGCTGCTGTTGATGGAGGGGCTGGTGTGGAGGGAGGGCGGCACCGCCTGAGAGTGGAGGCGTGACCATGTAGCCGCTTCCATACATGTTGAGAATCTCAAAAATAAATAAATAACAAAATCGAAGCGAATCCAATGCAAAGAACTTGGAATTGGATAACAAAAAAAGAGATGAATGTAGAAGGAGGGAGAGAGTTGCTGATCCTTGGTTGCTGGTCCCTTGGATGGGTTCTGTGAGCTCTGCGTCACCACGCGAACCAGCCTCGCCGCATTTCTCCGGCACCAGGCAAAGCTTTTCTCGTTTCCTTTTCTCGTTTCCTTTTTGTAACTTACCTGGCACGCCACCACAGCACACCACCCTTGTCGTGCCCACCATGCGCCACTGGCTCTCGAAACGTACGAGATTGATACCTCTATTTTATTTATTTTAATTGACGTTTTTCGCTTTTTATTCTATTATTCGATTTTTAATCAAAATCATTCTTTGTGACCGGGACCAACCACCCCACGGCGCACCAGATCTGAAGGGCAGAGAACGAAGCGACAGCGCCGATCGCGACGACGACAGCACAAAAGAACGAAGAGACGGCGAGTGGGGGTCGGGTCTCATCGTACGCACACAGACCGTGGCCCTGCTGCCCGACCTCGGGTCCACCACCAGCAGCTCTGCCCACAGCCTGCGGCACCAGCGCGCACGACACCCACGCGACGCCGCCGGCGACCGCGTGACCAGAGGCGGCGACGATGGCGACGACGCCGAACTGCCCAAGGACCGGGCCTGGCGCAGTCGGGTGAAGCCGCTCGCGACCGACGATCGGCGTAGGACCTCCGTGCAGCGGGCGGACAGCGACCTGCGCTCGCGGATGGTGAGGAATCCGTCGTTCGCGCGCAGCCGCTACGTGCTGACCAACACGGGCGCCTGGACGCGCGTGGCGCCGCCGGGGTCGCCGGGCGGCGGAAGGGCTCGAGACCTGCAGCGGAAGCGCACGCGGGACGGACTTGCGCGGCAGAGGAGCGCCGAGCGCGATGCCTGCCCGCCGGGCCTGTTCCTCATTCGTTATCTCAATCCGTGCGCGGCTGACCTGCTCGCCGGCGACATGCGTTTGGTACGCATCCTCACCACCACCAAGCCCGCATTCGTGCTCACGGCACGCACGCGCACCACCGCACACGCACTCGCGCACACGCACTCGCGCACACGCACGACGTATGTTGTAGGTGGACGGACGGTGGGTGAAGAACGAAGAGGAGAGTGAGGTGTTGGATCTGGGCGACGAAGAGGAGCTGCTGAAGTGGGCCGAAGACGATGTCTACTACCAACCGCTGCCCAAGGAGTTTGACGTCGACGAAGAGCAGGTACACCTACGCTATTGATACTAATCAACCGCCCGCACACCAGACGCCAGCTTACTGACGTCATCACTTTGTTCATTTCATCGTCTTTCGTTCTTTGTTCTTTGTTCTTCGTTCTTTGACAGCTCCGGCTATGGCGCGAGTGTGGGCGGAAACACGAGGAGACGCTGGGTGAGTGGGTGACGTGCGAACAAGACCCGCAGTACGTGCGACGCTTCAAAGAGGAGGGACTGCGACAGGTGACCCGCAAACACTCTTCCGCCGAATTCTTCCGCCGAACTCCTGCTCACTTTGCCAGAAAATGGCAACACTACAGCTGTGGATCGTGCGAGTGGTGGATCGAGCCAACAGGCCACCGGCGGCCTGGGGCCGATTTGGTGACGACGACGAAGATGACGAGTCACGATCATCGCGACCCTCGGCCATAGTCCAGCACCAGGGCGTCATCTCGGTACTTATTGCATCGCCCACTCGCTTGCCCACGGTCCAGCCCATTCGCTCTTCGCTCTTCGATCTTTCTTCGCTCTTCGTTCTTTTGACTGTTCTGCGACTGATGGCGGCGCTCTTGGTTCTTTTCAGTTTGCTGCGGCCGAAATGGAGGACACAGATCTGGAGATGGAAGACGAGGAAGACGACGGGTTCGAAGATGGTCTGGAGATACCGGAAGAGTTCGGACTCGTGGGAAAGCGAAGCAAGGAAGAGAACGAAGACGAAGAGGCAGCCAAGGGGACGGAGGACTCGTCATCATCGCCTGCGAAAGCAAAATCGGAGGCGTCGGCGTTGGCGTCGGCGGGCCTCACCCTGCGACGCTTGACCGGCAACAACTTGGGCGGCCAGGCCACTCGACAGATGGCGGGCGAGAGTGGGGGCCAAAACAAGAAGCGGAAGGACCACCGCGGCACCGTGAAAGACGACGGCGACGACAGTGACGACGAAGATCACCACCACGGGCTCCCCACAGTACATAACATATCTCAACCCAACAACTACGATCGCGAGGCGACATAGTAACTTGACTCCAATTGCGTGCAGGCGTTGAATTGGCTGATCGGAACGCTGCGCAAGGTCATGGAGGACACATCGCCCAGCCCACTGGTCCTGGAGACCTTCCTAGAAGAGGACCCTGACGCCGACTCCTCCGATGATAACTCTTCCTGGGACTAGTCGCGGCGCTTACGTGCGAAACAGCTTGGCTCGGAGCTAAAAATTAACCACCACACGGGGAGTACAATCACCAGCGGGCGGACAGAAGACGACCTCGTAGTCGACGCGGTTGAGGCCGCCGACCATCTCAGAGCAGGTGAAGGTGCTGCTCATGTCGTCGTAGGGGTAGGTGTAGGACGTGGGACAGGCCTTCTTCATCCACAGCAGCTTGGGCTGCACGTTCTTGACCCAGGTCGGGTTGATCGCGTGGCACCGCGTGACCGACGACGGCACCGGCACGCCCAGGTCCTGCCAGTTGGCGCAGCCGCAGCAGGTCGATGTCGCGAAGGGCTGGTAGCACGAGTCGATGCCGTTGGTGCAGCCGTAGAGCCGGCTGTACTGCGCGCAGTCGAACGGGGCGCCGTAGTTGGAGTTCATCCCACACACCTGGTCCGCCGTCCAGTAGCCCAAGCGCTTGCCGCAGTTCAGCGTCAGTGGCGTGCTCAGTCCGCACACCTCGCCGCCTGTCGCACGCACCCACATCAGTACATTTCCCTCACACACACGACCGCGCACACCACCGCACACACGCATACCGGAGCATTCGCGGTCAGAGCTGCAGCCACGGCCGTCCTGGGTGACCCACACGTAGTGAGGCGAGGGCGGGGAGAGGTCCCACGAGCAACTGCCGGTCGGGGTGCGCGGCCGGAGGGCGCCCGGGTTGCCGCAGAAGAAGGGGTCGTTGGTGCGGGCCGAGGTGAGCGGGTTGATCGCCAGCGGGATGTTGATGCCGTTGATGACCTCCACGTCGTAGGTGTCGATGTTATTCGTCAGCATCGTGAACTCGCCCTGCGTGGCCGGCTGACCGAAACCATGCGCGCAGCCTTTGTGCGTCGCGTGTCGTGCGGTGTTGCGTCAGTTTCGCTTTGCTTTTGGCCAATGCGCGGTGTGGTGACAAAAAGAACGAAGACGACAACAAAGAGTGAAGGGAGGGTAGTACTCTCGTGGTCAGGGTTGGGTCCGCAGTCGGCGGTCTGGCAGGTGCCGCTCTCGCAGCCCGTGCGGCCGGCCAGGGCGCCGCTCCACACTACGTTGAGGCCATTGTTGTAGTAGGGGAAGACCACCGAGTTCGACCCGCCGTTGGGGCTGAGCCTGAAGTCGCCGTTGGCCGGCTTGGGCTGGTTGAAGTAGCAGATGCCGTTCTGGGGGTTGCAGTACGACCCCTGCGGGCATCCGGCCGAGCAGCGGCCGTTGGGCACCGCGCCCGAGACCAGGCCGAACCACACCGGGAACGAGCAGTTGTTGTGGAAGTGGAACGTGCGGCCTGCTGCGCGCGAGTGACCATCGCGAACGGGCTCGAACGAAGCCGAAGCAATTGCGACGGCGAGGCACAGGGCGAGCAGAAGAGTGAGGAGCGACTTCATGCCACGGGCGGAGGTGAAGAAGGAGAGGTGTGAGCGATGGTGTGGGTTGGAGAGTCTGAAGTGCAACTTGGGACACAAGTTTTTGTTTTGCAGCCAAACGTTGCGATTGGCCGGAGGGATAGTGAGATGCTTGTGGATAGGTGGACGAATAACTACGTTTTGACTGGCGCCAGCTCTGCCGACATCGCGGACGATGCATGTCGACACGAAAAGAAAAACGAAATATCTCAATTTGCATTTTATTTGAATAACTGCGTTTATTTCACCAGTGGTGCGTGCAGAAGTAGAAGGCAACGTTGGCCAGAGGCGGCACACGAAGATTAGACGATCCATCATAAAAGAAGAGGAAGCGAGAAATCGGAGCGAATCGGCACATAAAAGCAAGGAAATGATCCTGTCGCCCATCTCGCTCTTCATTGTCTATGACAAATGGGAGCCTGGGCAGCGATTAACGCTGCTCATCTTGATCTACACTTCGGCAGCCCTCTCGCTTCTGTCGTGCCTTTTCATCCTCTACGCTCTCACCATCCTCTATAAACTGCGTGCCAATTCCATTCGACGACTCGTCTTTTACATGGTCTGGGCCGACATGGGCGCTGCCATCATGTGGCTCATCGCCGCCTCCCTCGAACCTTCCTCTTCCTCTGCCATTCTCTCTTCATTTTCATATCCTGCCTCCACCTCTGCTACTTCGCCATTTTCGACATCGGCACTGGACACCAACGGGACAGCCGATGCTGGAGGGACCGTCATCGAATGGGGAGGAATCGACTGGGGCTGCCGATTGGTGTCACCACTCCAGGTCTACTTCTGCCTGGCCTCCATCTTCTGGGCCACCAACATCGGTTCGCCTCTTTCTTTTACCATCTCTTTATTTCCATCTTTTTATTCTTTATTTATTTATTTGCCCATCAACAGCAACGGAGACGGTGTGGCGCATGGGTCATGTCACGTTCACTCCCATGGGCGAGATCAAACGTACCACCCCTCTCTTCTTCTTCTTCTTTTGATGCTTTGGACCCTTCCCGCTCTCTTCTCTCTTCTCTGATGCTGTCTTACGTGCGCGTGTGGGCAGTGCCCAACGAGAGTTCGCCCTACACCTGCGCCTATCAAATCTTTGCGTGGGCTCTCCCGTTTCTTGTCATCTTGCAGCCCATGAAGTACGACCTCCTCTCCGTGTTGTTCCTCGCCTACTATCGACTCCTTCCATGATCGCGTTCTCACTGTGATGACTATCGTGTTGCAGTTGCTCGGAAACGGGCAAGATTACGCTCATGTGGATCTACATGGCCATCGTTGTCGCCGTCTGGGTCTACTGCGTCCTCGCCTACGCCGTATGTCGTCTCTCGATGCACACATGCAACACACACACACATACACACACACACCACACAGCGCCAACGTACAATTGGCTCTCAATGCGCGATTGACTGTTCGTGTCTTCAGGTGGGCATGATCGGGTTCAACAAGAAGCTGCAGCAGGCGGAGATCAACGGCACCTACACGCGGACCGAACAGGAGCGAACAGAGCGACTGCAGATACGGTGGGCCGGCTACCTCGTCGTCTATATTATGACGTGGGCCTTCGTCCTTCCGCTCAACGTCGTGCAATTTTGGGGTACCGTGTGTTGTGTGCGTCGTGTCTTTGGTCGTGTCGTGTCGTGTCGTGTCGTGTCGTGTCGTGTCGTGTCGTGTCGTGTCGTGTCGTGTCGTGTCGTGTCGTGTGTTGTGTTCGTTGGTCATGTGTTAGCTTACCCCGGGTTCAATGAACAGGAACGGAGCAAAGTATGGTGGTGTTTGTGTTCACGGCGATCGGTTGCGTAACGCTCCCGGCCATGGGAATGTTTAACGCCATTGTCTATGGCTGGTACGGCCTCACCCTGCCCGGCCACCTTTCGCACGCACACGCAGGCCACAGAGCGTCTCACACCTAACTTGGCTACTGCTGTCAACACCCAACGCAACACGACACAGCATGCCGTCATACAAGCAAAGCGCGCTCTTTAAACAACTCTACCTACACCTGGTGGGCCTTGGCCGATGCCGCTATGGTGCGTTCCACCTTTCCTTACTGGCAACCACACGCGACGCCAACGCGGCGCCTTGGTCGCTTAGCTAAGTGTGCGGTGGTGCGTGTTGTGCAGCGTCGCACGTGGGCGAAGAGGAACACACGAAGCTGGTCCAGAAGGGTACCCCGCCACGCAACTACGGCAACGCTGGCGTGGGCGTCTACTACTCGTCCGACGACGATGACGACTACTGGGAGAGATAAACCATCGCACGCGTGCACCCTACGTCGACACACAGTCGAACGCGTGCGTAGCACCGCACCACATGCGGTGCCCGACGAGCGACGAGAGACAACGAACAACCAACAACAACCAGTGTACAGAACAGGTGACGACGCCACCGCCGCGGCGGTTGGTGTCTTGCCCTACGCGCCGCAACGATTGGAGTAATTGATGCGCGCCACCACGGGCAGAGAGAGGTCTTTGAACAAAGAGAAACTGCCACCTCACCATCATCATTCCTGTCATTTCATGCTTGTCGTGCTTCTTGTTGGCCCAGTGGCGCCCCCGTGCGCACTGCCTTCCGGTGAAGTGAAAACAACATCAAACCCTCCGAAAGAGACAAGCTCATAGAACACAGAGGATGTGGACCACCAACTTTGGAGGAGCTCCGGCGGTTCGCGCCGCGCCAGGCACCTACCCTGACGATGAAGCCATTCTTTCTTCTACCTCGGCCGCTCCAACCGTGCGTCCAAATTCACAAAACTGCAACCCTTAAGATGATTGTTTTCATTCGCTCCCCACCGTGCGAAACAGACGTTCGGCTTAGGTCCCAAGACTCCGCAGGAAGGGGCACCCACAGCCGCCCAGTTGCGTGGTAGTCGCTACCCCCACCCATCTTGTGTTGAACTTCCCATTTCTTCGAATTATTTGGTAAATAATTGACATTAATGTCGACGCAAAACACAGTTTGGGTGGCGCAGGCTGCGGGAGGAGGGGAGAAGCCGCAGGTGGGCAATGTGGGCAATGTGGGTGATGAAGGCGCCGACGCCTTTGCGTACGAACACCTTCTCTTCTCGGTGGCCGTCTACCGTGGCGTGTACTCCCGGCTGTGGCCGTTCGTGCTCGGCACGCTCATGCGCCGAGCCGATGCCCGAGAGGGGAGCCACACGGACTTCACCGACGATGCGACCGCTGGCGAGCGCCTGCTTGCGGGCCTTCTCCACCTCGAGGCCATCGACACCAGCCTCTGCGCGCCGTGGATTGATCGCATCTTCGCCATCATCGTACGCTGCAGCGGCTCCTCCTCCTCCTTCGTGCCCACATCGCGCACAGTCCACACTAACCAGTCGGGCGGCTTGGCACAGGCGAGCGAAAAGACGCCCGTGGGGCTCAAGATAGCGCTGCTGGAGTACCTGGGCACCAACCGAAGCGCGCCCGACAGTATGGACATTATTCCGTTCCTCCTGGGCCGTATCAAGCACGAGCCTCACGACAAGACGCGCGCCTGCGCAGTGCTCGCTCTCGGCATCATGTTTCGGTTCGTCGTCATCGCCACTGACAACTACTACTAAGTCTTGTTGGTGGCCGATATCTCTTATAATGCACGAGGGAGAAAACTAACGCGACCATGGCACAGAATGCGCTACGGCAACGAACTCAAGCTTAGAGACGCGAGAAAGCTGCTGGCTGAGTTCTGGGGCGGGGAGGCGGACGCGAGCGAAGACGGACAGCCCGACGGCGGCGGCGGCGGCGGCGGCGTGGTGATGACTCACGAGGACCCCGCCGTGGGTCCACTGACCAAGGTGACGCTGGCGTTGGTCGCGCTCCAGCAGCTGGCGCACCCGCCATTGGCGGCCGTAGATCACGCGCTGGTGGCCCTGTCCGACGACGCCATCCCGGCTGCTTGGCTCAGCGTTCGGGGTAAGCCACCTCTCCTTTTTTTCGCGTCGTGTCATGTGTGTCGTGTGTGTCGCGTGTGTCGCGTGTCGCGTTTGGGGGACCTTTAAAGGCTCACAATACACCTGCGACCACCTCGTCAGGGGGCAACTTGTTCCTCTCGGAAGCGGCGGAGGTCGCCATCGACAACGTGGTGAGCATACAATTCCTAGCGCTCCCGCTCGTGCAGAAGCAGCTGGACGACTATCGCGTGAAAATCGAGGAATACAATGAAAGTAAGATGAGGTTCATGCCCGCGAGGTCGACAGTGCCTACTCTGTCCTTGTACGGCCTCTGGCCGGCTTCATTTGCCGAGGTACGACACGACACCATGACATGACCAACGACACACGGCACACGATACACGACACCATGACACACAACACGACACGACACGACCAACGACACACGACACGATCAACGACACTGGCCTAACCAGGTAAAATAACACATGCCTGCAGTTGCTTTACCGCGCAATCACGAGGCTGGAAAGCAAGTTCGCCAAGCAGGATGTGCTCCCGCGCCTGATGGACCGCCTGGCACAGGCCACCGCTGAACCAGTCTTGTACGCGCCCGACGCCCGCCGCCTTGTTGCCGCAACAAACAACTCTCACACACACGGTGGTGGCTGGTGGGGGACAGCGACCGCCTGTTGGTTGTTCTGCTGAACCTGATGCTGCCCGATCCGCTGGTGGAGGGCACGCTGGCGCAGGAGCTCGACAAACATACGGCGACAGTGCTGCGTCAGCTCGCCTTCGACTCCCGCTTTGACAATCTGTGGCAGTGGATCCAGTACGTACTCATATGACACGACACACGACACACGCGCACGACCGCACACAGCACGCGGTGCTTAGGCAATGGCGTGCGTGTGTGGCATGTCAGTGTCCAACCCTGCAGTGATGGTCACAGGCAGAGGCAAGAGGAAGCTGAAGCGAAGGCCCAGGCGCAGACCGACAAGGAATCACCCGAGGGAGAAGAAGGCAAAGAAAAAGAAGAAGAAGGCAAGGAAGAAGAAGAAGAAGGTGCGAAGAAGAAAGAAAAGAAGTGGGGCTTTGAGGCCAAAGGCCTGCCGGCCACGAGGGCCGCACTGCAGCAATACGTCGACGCGCCGATCCCCGCAGAACTGGTCGGTCGCAAGTGGTACGTAGAGCCCAGCAGCTGGCCAAACCCACACGAAGCTCACCGGCGGCCGTCGGGTGGCCTTCCCAGGCTGCCCAACTTTGACGGAATGGACGACGAGAACTGGGCCGAGCTGGGCCATGCCTACGGCTCCGGTACTGCACCAACCACGAATCACCCCCTTTTCGTGTTCGTGTTGAAGGGGACTGACCGACAGCGTGTGCCCTTGTGGGGTGGTCGGTGGGTTGCGCTCGCACTGCGGCAGCGGCGGACCTACCTCCCTTGATTCGTGGCCTGGCGTCCAGGTCGCGCAAGGTGCAGGAGCGCTGCATCGGCACACTCTACGGCAATGCCATCCACCAAGGTACAAGGGGAGTCTAGTTCACACACACACACACACACGCACACACATTCACACGACACACATGGCACACGACACGATACGACACTCAGGCACACGGTACTCGGCGACGCCCCTGACGGCCAAGTGGATTGCGTATCTGCTCGAGTATCAGTGCGTGATCAACAAGGGCGCACTGTTGGAGGTACGCACCTTTCAACGCCGCGCGTACCCCGCACACAGACCGCTTTCCAATCGTTTGGCATTCTTCAAACTTCAATCTAAACGGGGCTGCCTCCGACCCCCGTGGACCAGTACCTGATCGCGTTGATGGTTGGCTTTCGAGAGAGCTACGTTCTGGCCGGCTGTGATGGTCACTTCGAGGACTCGGACGAGCAAGCCACCTACGACGAAGTGGTATCGTTCACATCGATCCATGCCTGCGCCTTGCCTGGCTTCTGATGTCCGCCGCACTACACGCACACACCACTCTGTACAGAGCAAGCACCTGGCGAAGTACATCTCCCTGTTCAGCACCGGCGACCAAGACATTCGCTCCTACGTCATCTTCCTGCTCGCCGTACGTCCTTTTACCTCCTTTTGGTTTATTTGTTTTGTTTATTATAATTATTATTATTTTATCTCTTTTCTCCTTTATTTATTGTGTTCTTTAACACCGACTCACTTTCGCACTGTCAACACAGATGTGTCCGAGCCAGTGGCGCTTGGTGCAGCCTCTCTTGGACGCGATCGCACGCGACCCCACGCAGTCGCTGTGCATTCGCGCGAGCGCGCTCGAGGCGCTGTCTTTTGTCGCACCCGTGCGCCAGGCCGAGGCCTGCAGCAAGGGGGATGGCCAGAGCACCCACGCCGACGACGAGGCGATCGCGCTGGCCAAGCGCACCGTCGACCTCCTGACCTCCTTCCTGCCGCCCGTCACCGGTACGCGCGCGTTCGTCACTGGCTTCACAAAGTCACTCACACACTGTGCGGCGTGTGCGTGTGCGGTGGTGCGTGTGCGTGTGCGTGTGCGGTCATCAGGAGTCGTGGCGTCGCTGCGGGATGTGGCCGCCGCCCGGCTTACGGGCGCCACCGGTGGTGAGGACGCAGGGCCGACGACGGGACCTCCTCACCACCTCGAGGTGCTGCCCGCAGAGTTGCAGGCGCTGGTGGCACACAAGGCCCTACTCAACGACCCAGCCACGCGTCGCTACTTCCAGGTACCCGCCTTTGTTATTTGTTTTTATTTTTTATTTTTTTATTTGTTTTGAATTTTGTTTTTTGTAAAATTAAAATTGATATTAATTTTATTCCATTCAGAAACACGCAGCGTTTGGAATCTGTCGGCTCATCTGGCGGTCGCGCGGCATCAGCGGCAGTCAATACGCCATCGAGAACGCCACCGGTGGGTTCTTCCCCCCCACCCAATGATGCCACAACACACAACACACGCACACGACTCACGCGCATGTCGCTGACCAACAACTCGCCACACACGACACACACGACACCCACATTCATGCACACACGCACACCAGGTTCTGAGACGGAGGAGCTGATAGCGGCGCGGGAGTCGGTCTCCAGGGTCGAGCTCGAGCTCGAGCTGCACAGGTGGCTGCCGGCGGTCAAGCAGGTGCTCGTGGAGGACCTCGTAGACCCGGCCTCCTACACCATCAACGACGCCGGCACGCTGTTGGAACTGAAGGGCGATAAACTCGCGAAGCTCTACCTGACCAAGTTCAAGCTCTTTGGCACCGACATCAACAGCGAGCTGCGCGAACTGTTCCTCGCCAAGCTTGCAGACACTCAGCTGCCCGGTACGCTCAAACAACACACGACACACGACACACGCACACACGACACGACACGACACGCACACGTGCAGGCGCACACACTGACCGCGCATTTATAATACAGCGCGCGTTGCGGTGAGGGTGGCGAGTGAGCTGCTGGAGCTCACCGGCCCGACCAACACGGGGGGCCTCACGAATAGGAATGTGTTCGAAGGTGCCGACGAAGACGACGAGGTCTACGACACGGCCGGCTGGTCCGACGACAAGAAGCGCGCCTTGAGCGCTATCGTCAGGTTTCTCACTCTGCCTTGCACCAACTGGCCGCGCGTGCGTTTGTTGACTTGGCCGCTCCGCACGACACACGACCACGACACACGACACACATGACCAACAGGTGTGGGCAGGTGTGGGCGGATGCCGACGAGGCGGACCGCCTGCGCCGGAACCTGCTCCCTTCGTTCGTCGGCACCAGGTGGCCCACGAGACACGGCCTCGCGCGCGCCTTGGGCGTCCCAGGCGTGCCGCCGCCCACCGAGGAAGAACTGCGCCGAGAGGCCGAGCAGAAGCTTCAACAACGGCAGAGCAAGAGCCGCCACACCCCGATTTTTAACATGTTCCCCTAAAGCACGTGACTGCAGTCAAATAAATATGTTCTGTTACGTTAGTTGATAAACCTACTGAATATGTAACGGTTGCGTGTAGTAAACACACGGACACACGACGAGACACACAGAGACACACACAGAGAGAGGTGTGTAGTCTCAATCGTTGGCGTCTCCGTCGGAGTAGTATTTGGGCATGAGGGAGTAGCCTTTCCTTCGCGACCGCAGCCGCTGCAGCTCCTCCTCGAGATGATGTTGCTTTTGTTCCTGTGTCGTGTCGTGTCGTGTCGTGTCGTGTCGTGTCGTGTCGTGTCGTGTCGTGTCGTGTCGTGTCGTGTCGTGTCGTCGGTGTAAGTAGGTGTTGGCAGCACGTGGAAAGAATGGGTGAGCGCGGGGAGCCGACGTACAAAGTACTCGAAGAACTCGGCCCACTCGCGAATGAGGGACTCCTTCTCGTCCACCGAATGCAGAAGGTGGTAGTTGTCCGCCTTGTGCACCTCGCGCATGATTTGCTCGTCGAGCAGTTGCTCCTTCAGGCCTCGCAGTTGCTGCATCCCCACAAAACAAACACCCCAGGCTCAACATCTTCACACCGCACACACACCGCACACACGCATCATTGCATACCTGAGCGTGGTAGTCGGACACAATGCCGGAGAGGACCTGGAAGTCGACGTTCTTGTTGTCTTCGTTGGCTGTCACCTGCAGCAGTCGTCGCATCCGATCCTCACCATCTGGTGTCGCCCAGCTCACCAAATGAGCACACGACACACGACACACGACACACGACACTCGACACTCGACGCACGCAACATACCTTTGATCTTGGCCTGCATTGTGCTCATCTGCTGGTCTTTCGTCGCAAGCTGCTGTTGGAGATCTTTCACCTGGCGCACGACACGCACACGCACACGACACACGACCAACGACGCACACAGGCATTGAGTGCCATTCTTTGCGTGAACTCGGTCTTGCGAGGTGTCAGTGGCGCTGTGTACCTGCTGCGTTTGAACGTCGACGTTGATGTTCATGTAGCGAATCCGTTCGTCCCTGCCGTTCAGCTCATCGCGCAGTTCGTCCACCGTCGCCTGGATCGCCGCCAACTGCTTGGCCTGGGCGGCGTAGCGGCCCTTGAGCCGCTTGTAGCGCGTCTCGACGCTCTTGTGCTCCCCTCGGCCGGTGAACACGCGGAACTTCTCCTCACCGTCGCCGTTGGCCGGCAGCTCGCCGTGGTTGTTATCTACAGCATGCCCGTTCCCGTTGCCATCGCGCTCGCTGGCCTTTTCCTTGTTGTTGTCGTTGTCGTCGTTTTCGCCGTTGTTACCGTTGGCGTCGTAGTCGCCCTCCTCCTCCCCCTCGTCGTCCGACAGACTTTCCGAGTCTTCTGACGTTTCGCTGCTCTGCCCCGCTTCCTCGTTGGCCTAATTAATGGTTTGTTGTTGGTTGTTGTTGGTTGTTGTTGGTTGTTAGGTTGAGTGAAAACATTAATGTAATGACGGACTGAGGGGGGAAAGGGGCGGGTACGCCAAAATTGAGGAAGTCGAGTGATCGGCGCGTGGAGTGCACCCGGTTCCGCGGGGACGGCGGCTCGAGAACCGACCGCACCGGGCTGCAACAACGAAACAAAAATATCAATCAATATATCAATATTTCAAATATATATATATATATATTTATACAAATACAAATACAAATAATAGAAACTATAATATAAATAACGCGTGGTTGGGAGTGATACCTCATGCCAGCTGCGGCGGACGTGCCGAGCCTGAACGCAGGAGACCGGATGCCACTGCGCCACATGATGCCTGTCACACGTTCCCCAAAAGGTCAGCAGGTGCACACACACGACACACACGCGACACACGACACACGACACACACACACACACACACACACACACACAACAGAGAGAGGACGAGAAAGGTGATTGTTACCGGCAGAGGATGGTGATGCCGCAGAGGGAGGTGCAGCGCCGCCGCGGAAGGATGGCGGTTGCGTTCGATGGGGTGCCATAGGAGTGGGGATAGATGTCGACACAAGAATGAGCCGCGTGAGTCGATTGATCTTCTCCTCCAGCTTCATCTTGACCTGCTCTTGCTCTCGCAACCTACGCACACACCGCACACACCGCACGCACACCGCACACACCGCACGCGTGAGTGCCATGGTGTGATTGCGAGCGGACGAGGCGGTGTACCGTTCAAGCAGGATCACGTTGCTCTCCTCGAGCGACTTCTTCTCGAGCTCGGCGGTCTGCAGCTTTTGGATCTGCTCCTCTTTCTCTCTCACCTCCTGCAGACGCCGCTTGAGCTGCGAGATCTTGTCTCGGTAGATCTTGATCAGCGCCTTGTCGTCCAAGACCTGCGGCATGCCCCGCACCACAAGTGACGGCGACCAGACAACCGAAGCGTCCATTGGTGAGCCGCTGCAAAAACACTGGGGCCGACGCCAGAACGAGCCTGGTGTGGGAATCGTAATAAATAAGGGAGGGGCGGACCTCGTTGAGCTTGGCCCTGTTGGTGATCGCCTTGGCTCGATCAGCGAATTTGAGGGTGTTGTGCGACTCCTCAAAGCACCCCGTGGTGGGCGAAATGGTGCACACTGATGCCACACACACACACACACACACAAAGAGAGAGAGAGATCTTGATGAGTGAAAGTTGCCCGCCTTATAAAATCGCTTCTCTCTTCTCACACAAGTCCACGCGGCTGTGCGTACCGATCGCAATGCGAGCGTTGCCGCTGAGCGAGGGCTGCAAAATTCGTGTCAGCTTGCTGTCTCGGTACGGAATGTGACCGCTGGAGATAAAGAATCGCGACGTTGTGAGCGTCAGCCCACACACACAAATTATCATTCCAGCCGGCTGCGACACATACCCGGAGCCCTTGCTGAGCTTCGAGATGACGTTGCCCAGCGTGAGCAGCGACTTGTTGATGTAGGCGCCTTCCGTCCGCCGCACCCCCTGGGTGGTGGTGGGTCCGGCCTTCTCCGAGCCAGCCAGGTCGATCAGGTGCTGGTGACCACGTCGGCACACGAGAAGAGAAAAGGGGAGGGAGGCGTGAGCCATTGGCCCTTCGCAGTGACCAATCATTGATAAGGCGTCGCATACCAGCGTCGAGACGCGCACGGGAGGCTGGCGCACAGGACTCGCCCCACCGCGTGGCTCGTTGCCCTGTACGGGCTTGCTCTCGATGACCTGATTTAATAAATAGAAAAGATAACGAATAGCATCAATCAAAGCCGTGAGAACAATGTAATGTGTGGAATGCTAATGATGTGCGGTGTACCATGCGAAAAATTGTGTGCGATCGAGAGGACATCTCGTTGAAGTCGGTGCTGCCCACGTGTCTGTGAGCTTCGCCGGCAGCGATGATGGACATCACCTGCTGCGGCGAGAGCACAATTTCCTCCTTCAGGTCTCCAATGAACACGCCACCCTGCGGAGAGAATGAGAGAGAGAGAGAGAGAATACGGAAATGAGTTGCGACGACTGGACGTGATGGTGAGGAGGTGGTGAGGGTGGTGGTCGACAAGCTACCTTCGCCGTTTCGTGTACTTTCACGTTCGTGTTTGAGGGGCACAAGAGATCGTTGATGACCTCGTTGTAGATCTCGAGGTACGAGACCCGCAACAGGAACTCGCGCTCGGGCGTCTAGTGAGAGAGAGAGGTGATGGCGAGAGCGACGTAAATAGGTTAACATTAACATTAACATGCATGGGTGTACGTCAGCAGATTAGACATAGAACGAGCGAATCATGGGCTCAAGCATGGGCTACTAGTAAGGCCACAATACCTGCTTGATGTAGGAGAATACGTCCTGGATGGCGAGTGGAATCATGCCAGGGTTCTTGGAGGAGCCCTTCATTGTGTAGGTCTTGCCAGAGTTGGTCTGGCCGTAGGCGAAGATGGTACCTACAAGCGACGAGAGCGAGAGTATGAGCAAGTGCCATCCGAGCAGAGGCAGGCGTGAGTTGGTGGGTCGTGCCGTTGAAGCCCTCCATGGTGGACCAGATGACGTTCTCTGCCACCACCTCGAACACCTGTTGGTTACTGGTGTCGGGAGGGAACACATGGTCTGTGCCCAACACACCAGGAACAAGAATGGTGAGTGCTTCATATTGTGAGGAGGAGGATTCGTTCTACTTGTAGAGTTTGTGGCATTCGTGCTACAAAAGAGTTAATCAACTGAAAAATAAAAGGGGAGGATCGAACCGAAGACAAACTCCACGTCTTTGGCCTGGCCCGCGTAGGACGACTTGCCCTTGGCCGTGCCCGCGCTGGCTCGAATGGTGCGCCCACCTTCATCCACCTCCCAGATGGGCCGCTGAAATTGGAGCGACGATTGTGGAGTGGATGATTTCTCCCTCCGCAGGAGCGGTCGCATCCGAACGCAGACGGAGATGTGCTCTTCCCTCACTCGCTCCACCGACATTTCCAAATGGCGGACAAGAGAGGCGATGTAGTTTTAATCTTGGCCAGCCGCGTTGCACAACAGGGCCGACTTCGCTTTTCTTCTATCACGAAGATTGATATCTCCTCCTTATGCAAGGCGTGCCACAGTTAGATGTGGATGTGCAGGTGCGCATACGCCAATCTCACAAGCGATGCCCAAGAGCAAAATAAAAAGAAAACTCGAGGCTAAAAGCAAAGCCAAGGAAATTCATTAATTTCTTCTGCCGCCACCGGTGTTGCGTTTGGTAAGGGTTCTTTTGCTTATTTAACATACAGTATTTACATGATCGCCGTCAGCGCTTGATAGCGAGTGTCTTTCTTTGTACAGGAGGAGTGCCTCATCAGAAGAGAGGACACTTCTTGGCGAGCAGCTTGGCCTTCTTGCCGCCGAGGCCCAGCCCTGCCTTCTTGACGCCGCCCTCGCCGGCGTCGCCCCGCCGCCGGTCGATCTGGCGCACCAGCTCGCAGAAGGCCTCGTCGACATTGATCCGCTGCTTGGCTGACGTCAGCAGGAAGGTGGCGCCCATGGCCTCCACGGCTGCCCGGCCCTCGGCCTCCGACACCTCGTGCAGGTGCGGCGGAAGGTCGCACTTGTTGGCCGCCACCACCATGGCCGTCTTGTCATCTTCGGTCGCCCGGCTGATCTGGTTGCGGAAGAGCTTCATCTCATCGAAGGTGGAGCGCTGGGTGACGTCGTAGACCACGAGGAAGCCCTCGCCGGTGCGCATGTACTGGTCGCGCATGGCGCCGAATTCCTCCTGGCCTGCCGTGTCGAGGATGTCGAGCACGCACGCGCGGTCGTCGATGTGGAGCTGGCGGCGGTAGGAGTCCTCGATCGTAGGATCGTAGCTGTCGACGAACTGCTGCGCCACGAAGTTGATGGTGAGGGCCGACTTGCCGACAGCGCCGGCGCCCATCACCACGATCTTGTAGACATTGGGCCGCGGCGAAGACTGAGCCTTAGTGGACTTGGAAGTGGTGCCAGCGGTCGCCATATCTTCGATGATGAGTGGAGTGAGTGTTGGTTGGAGTAGTGTTGGTTGGAGTTAGAAGAATAAATGGTGGACCTGTATTTGTACTCTCCCATATAGACGCGATTGATTGGTTGGTAAAAATAGATTTTGGCTGAATAGGTTGTCTGAATGCTGATACGCTGTAGATGCGAGAATTCGGTATAGAATCCACAGCTTCTCCACCAGTAGAATGCTACGTATGCGTCCGCATTTCTTGTTGCTTTTTTGTCTTTTTCCGCAATAGGGCGTGCGGGCACCTCTCCAGCGACCTCATCAACTGTCGAGGAAGGACGCGAACTGCCTGCGCTTCAGTATATTTGGGAGGATTTGACTCTCGGCAGAAGATGAACCATTGAGGGCTTCCTTGATGAGCGGGAGCTTCATAATCCTGGTTCTGGCCCTCGCCCTCCTCAGTTCTTCATACATGGCCAGCGCGCAATCCATTAGTAGCACCAGAACTCCCACGCGCACCCCCAGCGGTTCGCCCAGCGGCTCTCGCTCGCCTACCACCTCCCCCTCCCCATCAAGGACGGTTACGCCCAGTCCATCAAGCACGCAATCTCCTACCCGCTCACCAACGCGCTCAGTCACTCCCACCAAAACGCCCAGCTCCACTGTCACGCCCAGCTCCACCTCCACCCCCAGCCCTTCTCACTCCTCGACCCCCAGCAAATCTGTGACCCCCTCGCGCTCCAAAGCGCCCACGCGAACGCCCACGAAGTCGGTCACGCCTTCGGTCTCTATCTCGTCCAGCCCTTCGCCGACCGCCTCGGTGACCGCCACCCCATCGAGGACTGCCACGCCCACCCCCTCTCCCAGCTCCACGCCACTCTGGTCGAGCTCGCCTTCCCGTACCTCTCGACCTTGAAGAAGACTCAACTGTGTCCGGCGTACACAAAAAGTAAATAAACATAAAATCAAAGAAAATAGCAATTTATTACGCTGGTGTCTTGAGCAATTCCAACCTTCAGACGATCGACATTTGTGAAACATGGAGCCGTTGAAAGAGCCTCTGCAGCTCAAAGACGTTAAGCAGTCGCGATTTCAAGAGGGCGCGTCGCAGTCGGCGCCCGCATCGCCCGCGAGCGGTTTTAGCTCGCCCATTCCCTCAATCTTCGATCTCCCTCTTCTCTACGTGTGCGTGCGCGAGGATGGGGCCACACCGCCTCCTCTCGACATCGCTGGAATACCAATTGACTGGGTAAACAATAATTTAGAGGTTCGTCCCCATCTTCTCATTCCCCACAGCATTGCTCTGCATGAAGGTTTCGAAGCCACCATTGATTTTTCTTATCTCTCTACAAATTGTGTGCATTAAATGCATAGTTCCTCTCTGAGGTGCGCTACATCGACGTCGGGCGGGAAGAGATCCCAATACACGATCGCTCCTTGCGACGATACGCACGGTATCACCTCAAGGAGACCCTGTGCCTGATGGGCCTCAAGCCCTGGAAAGCTGCGCAGATATCAGGTTGGTGTTGAGCAGCACCCTCCTCCTCCTTCATCATCAGTCTCGCAAAGACTGACAGCTGCGTGTGCGACGGGTGGTGGTCATCGCAGAGTGGGTGTTCGACCGCATCAAGTTCAAGAAGGTGTCGCGGCGGTCGGTGGAGGGTCTCACGCTGAGCGGCGAGGGCCTGATCCCTACGCCCGGCGTGGGCGGCGTGGGCGGCCAACCGTCGTCACTCTCGGGCAGCGGCTCGCTCCCGACGACCGCGCAGACCGGGCATCGAAGACAGCCCTCCCTGGCCTCGGGCATGAGCGTCAACCTCACCAAGACCCAGTTCCTCAAGGTGCTCAAGGCGGCCTTTGAAGCGTACGTTCTCAGAATTCCTTCGTTCGTTCGTTGGTGGGTTGGTGCGTACGCAGCACGTCGCGGTGCACAGGCCTGACTCCGTCCTATCTTAGCACGGACACGAACATGGGCAACCGAGCCCTCTCCAACTTCAGCATCGCCGCCGACGTGACCTTCCGCCAGCAGTCGTTCACCATCCTACTGGGCGGCACGTCTGGCTGCGGCAAGTCGACACTGGCCTCCTTCCTGGCCAGCAGGATCGGCTTCACCACGGTCATCTCGACCGACAACATCCGCCACATGATGCGCTCGTTCATTCCCGCCGACCAGGCGCCCGTGCTGTTCGCCTCCACCTACCACGCGGGAGAGGTCATGAACCTGCCCGAGGACACCGACTACAAACAGCGAGTACGCCTGCCCTCTCCTTCTTTGGCCTGACGCGAGATCTCGTCCTACTTTGTGTCTGTCGCGCTCATTGACACCACCACCACCACCACCACCACCACCACCACCACCACCACCACCACCACCACCACCACCACCACTCTGTAGATCCTCCAGGGCTACGAGGCACAGTCCAAGCTGGTCTTTGAGAAACTGGAGGGGATCATCTCCAAGTGCGAGAGCAGGCGAGAGTCTCTGATCGTTGAGGTAGCCGCGCTCACTTCCCTTCACTCACTATTGTTCACCTCCTCCTCGTCAGTGGGTCATCATCACCATCGTCATCGTTGGTGCTAACCAACCGTGACTTTTCCAGGGTGTACATTTGGAGCCGGAGTTGATGATTGACCTGGTGAAGCGTCACCCCACATGCATTCCCTTTGTGGTGTACATAAACGACGACGTACGCTGCTGCCCCTGCCCCTGCCTCCTCGCGAACAATGATTGCACACGCATTTTTTCGCTTCGGGCGCAGCAACGACTCACACGCCATCATCGGTTCTGTTTTGTCTGTTCGAACAGGCCAAGCACAAGGAACGTTTTGCTATTCGCGCCAAATATATGACGCTGGATGCTCGCGTCAACAAGTACATCCAGTACTTCAAGAACATCCGGATCATCTCGCAGCATCTCTGCCGCCAGGCCACCAAATACGCGGTAAGCCGGCGAGCTGACCTTGTCCCTGACCATCACTGTTCTCTTCATTTCTGTTCCCGCCGACTCACTCTTGTGCTGCCGCGTAAACAGATCCCAAAGGTGAACAACACATCCGTCGATCGGTCCCTTTCCCTCGTGCACGGCACCATCTTCAACTGTATTCGTGCCTACAGCCAGGTATGCCGCGGTGTGTGCCGTGCGTCGTGTGTGTGTTGCGTGTTGCGTGCATTGCGTGCGATGGTGAGCTCAATGCCCACTTTCGTACAGGGAGAGCCCCTCTACAACAAGGAACTCGAACAGACTGCCGTCATCTCCCGCGAGTACAAGCGCGTCAAGGACGAACTGCTTAAGTCCAAGGGCGTCCTGGCGCTGAAGCGGGCATTCCTTTCTCCATCCCACTCTTCCTCGGTCCCATTGCTAACCACACACACCGCACGACACACAACACGGCACACACACACACTACACACACACACACACCACACAGAGCCCTAGCGGGAACTTTGCCGAGCACAACTTTGAATCTCTTCACGGGTCGGCGTCGGCCATGGCCGAGGACGTGCCCGAGGCGAGCGACACCGACGAAGAGCACCGGCACGAGGAGGAGAGCGTCGGGGACAACTATGACCTGGATGAGGACATCGAAGACGCGGTCTACGATGACGAGCGCCTCTACGCCGACGCCGGCTCCATCGGCAGCTGACGGCCGCCTTCGCTTCACACCACCTGATAATTAAATACAAGCAAATAAAACCAAAACAAATAAATAACAAGGAACCTACTCTCGATCGAGAAATCAATCTTCAACCATTCAAGCTTGCGAAAGAAATGACGAGCGAGTGGATCGATCCGGAACTGAGCGCTGAGGAGGATGCCGAGGTGAAGCGCAAGAGGCGGGAGCAGAGCGATAGGCAGAGCCGAAAGCTGGGCGAGAAGCTGCTCCAGGGCTGGTGCATGCTCGAAGAGACGTGCCCCGCGGGCTGCTTGGTACGCCACCCCCATGCATTCAGGCTCATTTCACAATTTCTCAATGGATGCTAAGCTGATCTGATCGAACATCAAATGCGGCCACAGGTGCCGTTGATGAGGAGCCGGCAGGGGCGTGAGTACTGCGTGTCTTGCGAGCTCTACGTAGAGGAAATCGTACGCTCGCCTCCCGTCTCAGTGATTCATCCAATTCCCTTGCCTTACAGTCATAGCACAACAACCACAGGAAGAGAAGATGCAGGCCGCCAAGCAGCAGGCTGCTCAGCAACAAGCCAAGCCGGTGGTGCAGGACCTGGAGGAGGTGTCCGAGCCCCGCTGCCAGATCGAGCACACTGACGAACACGCTGCCGCACCGGCTGCCGCCCAGCAGACCACCACCACCAGCACCACCGAGACCGTTGCCTCTTCGTCCTTCTCCTCCTTCCCGATGCCGGTCCACTTCCCGTCCCCCGCGGCCCAGCCCGAGTCCCTCGTCCACCCTGTGCACCCCTTCCCCAACACCACCGGCCTCGCTCCGCCGCAGCACGACCACCACCATCACCATGATCAGCACCACCCCCACCATCATGAACAGCTGCACCATCACCATGAACAGCATCACCACCACCATCATCAGCACCAGCTGGCGCACGGACATGTCGAGGCGGCGTTGGCGACGCTCTACAACAAGATGGAGGAGACGCGGCAGCGATTGGCCGCCACCCCCGCCGCCCAGTGCGCGCCGCTCGTGGGCGTCATCGCCGAGTGCGCGCGGGCCATCGAGGCTCTGCACTCCCTCTCCAACGGCCTGTGAGGGAAGGACCACCCAGTCAGTGTCCCACACGACCCCACGACACACCTGAGAGCTATGCAGAGCAGCTTGACATACATCGACAAAGCACACAACACAATACAAACATAGCTCAAGCGTTACATGTTGACGTTGATGTAGTTGATGTGGTGGCCTTGTTGTTGTTCGTGTTTGGTAAGTATGACGTGGCTTTCCATAACTGCAACAGGCAACGTTACCGCGGCTGCTCCCGAAAGAAGGCCAACGAACACGGAGGCCTGCCTTGGGACAAGAGCAAGAGCAAGAGAAGGGGACTTACCAATTCAAGTGAAGGATTGACGACACGACGCAGTGATGGTTGGGCCTCTTCTTTTTCGGTGCTCTCTTGCCAAGGCCCCTCATGACGACTGACTCTCACATGGGGCCTAGATTCACTGGATTCTGGCCATGAACGGACAGGGGCTCACCCGGCTGGACAAGTGGTTCACACCACACAACCAGGTACTGCTCCTGCGGGTCTTTTTTTAATATTCTTTATATATATCTCGCTTTGTTTTCTCTTTTTTTCTTTCTAAAAAGCTACTCTTGCTCAACCCCTCGTCTGGCAGCATGAACGTAATCGGATAAAGAGGGAGATGAGCACAACGCTGCTCAAGAGACAGCAACAAATGTGTAACTTTATCACCTGGCGCGAGTACACTGTCGTGTATAGAAGGTGCTTGCCTCGCCCGTGATGTGTATGGCCATGTTGCTGATGGTCTGTCTCATGACTCAGATACGCGAGCCTGTACTTCATCTTCTGTACAGACAACATCGACAACGAGTTGATCACTCTGGAGGTACTCGTAACCAGTACCTCCGATCAAGTTGATGCAACCATGGACATTGCAATACACCTCACCCATTGTTGTGTTGACAACGCCAACAGATCATGCACCTGCTGGTGCGAGCGCTTGATCGATACTTCGACAGCGTGTGCGAACTCGACCTCATCTACGAGTTCGAGCGGGTACGCACGCTCTCGTGTTGACAGCTGCCCCTTGCCGCTAACGTACTTTGTACTTCGCGCTGCATGTTCAGTGCTATGGTATCGTGGATGAGATGTTCATGGGCGGCGAGCTCCAGGAGACTGTCCTTACCGAGATCACCACGCAAGCGGCCGAGTGCGAGATGGACGAACTGACCAGGGCGCTCAACGAGGCCAACCTCCTCTGAACCCTTGCACAACCCAAAACAATAACAATTTCTGCGTGTGAGAGTGCGCAAGCAAAGAGAATGAAAGAAATGGAAATTTATGTCGACGATTTAATTTGCTATGAGTTTGGCTATTGGTGCATGCTCGGCGACAGGCTCGCTCTGGTGGTTGGCCACTCGACATAAACAGCCGAAGCTAGACACAAAATACAACGTAGCGCTCGAAAGATGATGCAGACGACTGCTCTGCTGCTCGTGGTGGTTCTCGCGGTTGCGCTCGGCTCCGCGAATGCGCAGACCCCGCTCGGAAGCTGGCAGACCGGCCGCAGCACCTTCTACCAGGGCATCGACGGCGGCAACTGCGGCTTCGGCGGCATCTCGTCCACCCAGTTCCCCTTCCGCTATATCGCTGGTACTTACTATTATTTTATTTTTGATTTATCTTCTCATTTATTTGTTTAGTTATGTATTTTTATTATTTAACTGAATATCTTATTTATTTATTTTAGCTCCGAACACGGCGTTCTACGCTGATGCGAAGGCGTGCGGCAAGTGCTTCGAGGTCAAGTGCACGAGCTCGGACTACATGAGCAACGCGTGCCTCGGCGGGAGCGTGATCGTGGAGGTGACCGACCAGTGCCCGTGCGCCGGCAACGAGAGGTGGTGCTGCGGCGACAAGGTCCACTTCGACATGAGCCCCGAGGCCTTCTCCCGGATCGCCAACACCGGCGCCGGCGTCATCAACACCCAGTTCAGGCCCGTCACCTGCCCCGTCTCCGTACGTGCGCACACACCGCACACACCACACGATCGCACGACACGACACACACGCACGACCGCACACACACGGTCGCACACGGGCTGATTGGTGTGTGTTGGTGTTGCAGGGCAATCTGAGGGTGCAGATCAAGGACGGCGCCAACCAGTGGTGGTTCGCCCTGCTGGCCAGCAACGTGGGCGGCAGCGGCGAGGTGACCAATCTCGAGGTGTCCGACGGCAACAACGGCCAGTGGACCGCCATGCAGCGCCAGAGCTACAACTACTGGATCGCGACGTCGGGCGCCGGCTTCAGATTCCCGCTGGGCGTGCGCGTGTCGCAGAACTCGAAGGTCATCACCGGCACCATCCCCATACATGTCGGCCGGCGCCGTGTTCGAGCTGACCACCAACTTTGCCTAAAACTGCCGCTCGCATTTTGTGTATTTTACTTTTTAACAACAACATGTTATGAATATGTTTGAGCTTTTGATGCTGTACATTACACAACATGTTCGGATTCGTGGTGCTGCTGGTCGTTGTTGCGCAGTTGGTGGATCCTGGCCAGAAGGACCTTGCGCGGCCCGATGGGCAGGCCCATCTGGGCGAGGTCGTCGGCGTCGAGCAGCAGGAAGGCCGCGTAGCTGACCTCCTCCCGCGCGAACACCGCCCTGTACCGCCTGGCCAGCCGGAGCTCCTCCAGCACCGCCCCGACTCGACCGTCAAGCTCTGCGCCCTGAGCCGTCGGTTCAGCGGGCGCCCGTATGGAGTGGAGTGGCGGGAATGCCGCAGGAGTGGTGTCTGGCGGTGGTGCGGTGATGGTGGTCGGTCGCAGGGGGGAAAGGGAGCAGGGAGTAGAAGGAGTCGGAGCTGTGCTGGTCGGGCACGGTGATGGGGTGAAGCGGAGGCGGGAGCGGGAGCGTGAGCGTCTCTGGGGTGTCGGGCCGCCGGCGCTTGGCCGGTGGCTGGTGCAGCAGGCTCGAGGGTGGCGGCAGTGGTGGACCGGCAAAGTTGTTGGGCCTCTTCTTCCTCGAATAGCCCTCCTCCTCCCCCTCCTCGCCAGCGGGCCGACAAGCCTGGTCTCGCCTGGCAACCAACAGAAGGGGGTGAGTTGGTGTACATAGAGGCCCAGTTCGTCGACCATCACGACCAGTAGTGTACCCGGCGTATTGGCGAGTCCACCCCCTGGCCAAACGATTGAACTGATCCAGGTCGGTGTTGAAGATGTCCCTCACGCCCGGCACCAGGGGATAGCCACCTGCCGTCCACATGGCCAGAGGTGTCAGGCATATGAAACGATGTGAAAATGATGAGTGGGGCCGACCTGTGCCGGGGTCCAAGAGCAGCAGCTTGATGTCGAGCAGGATCTGCCTGATGGTGAACTCCTTGCGCCACAGGCCCGGTCCCAGGACGCGCAGGCCCAGCTTCCCCTCGTCATCCACGCTCGGGTGGTAGATCCGCGTCAGGAACCGGACAATGGGCGGACGCGTGGGCTGTACGTTTTTGTTGCGTAGAGCCAACATCAACATCAACATAAAGAAGATGATGCGGCTGACGAGAAAGGTGAGGGCGGAGGTTGGGGAGGTTGACGTCGTACGTGGTGTGGGGAGTAGGACCAGTCGAGCTTGAAGATCCCGCCTTCATAGGGGGAGCCGTGCGGGCCTTGGATGGTGACCTGCACGCGGTACCTGTCGGCGGCCCACGGGGCCATGTAGATGCCATGCGGCGGGTCATTGTCGAACTGGTCCAGCTCCCAACTGATCCTCTCCAGGGCACCAACCTTCTCGCTGGTCGGCGGTGATGAGGGCACCATGACTTCAACCTGCGCAGCACAATGAACCACTCAAGCTGCGCTTTAGGACCCAAAAGAAGAGGGGGGTATCAAGCTTTGCCTGTAATCGGAAAAAAAAACTGTGACCCTGAACGGGGATTGGTAGCAAGGAATTGCTGCATTTGTCCAGAGTATCAAAGCACACTCCATCTCCCCCGCAGCTGGGGCTTGGGGACACGATGTTATCATCGACCTACATGAGGCACTGAAACGGGAAATGATGAAACAGTCTTGGAATTTTTACAATAATTGTATAAAATGGTGTTCACACCTGGCCTCAGTTGGGGATGAAGCAACCGCCATCGTGGGCCGGCTGCGGCGAGGGGGTGGAGGAAGGGGAGGGCGAAGAGGAGCCAAAGTTGGCGGAGAGGGAGAAGGTGGCGCCGGCCGACATGGACGTGATGGTGCCCGTCACGTTCTGCGTGCCCTGCCACACGCGCACGCCCAGCGGGAACTGGAAGCCCGAGCCCGACGTCGCCAGCCAGTAGTTGTAGTCCTGTCGCGCCGGCGTGACCCACGAGCCCGTCGAGCCGCTGCTCAGCTCGATCTTAGTCACGGCGCCCGAGCCGCCCACGTTGGTGGCCAGCAGGGCGAACCACCACGGGTTGGAGCCCTCCTTGATCTTGACCTGCAGCTGGCCCTGCACCGGGCACGCGACGGGCCGGTACTGGGTGTTGATGACCCCCGCGCCCGGGTCGGCGATCTTGGCGAAGGCGCCGGGGCTCAGGTCGAAGTGGACCAGGCTCGCGTCGCAGCAGTAGCCCTCGTTGCCAGCGCACGGGCACTGGTCGGTCACCTCCACGACCACGCTCCCGCCCTGGACGCAGGCGTTGGCCAGATAGGCCGACCCGGTGCACCTCACCTCGAAGCACTGGCCGCACGCCGCCGACTTGGCATAGAACGCAGTGTTGGCCGCTGAGTAGAACGTAGGAGGTTGCTGACGTCAGCAAAACAACTCCATTTGGTGGATTGCAGTGTTACGAGTTGGGAGTTCGGGGGGGGGAGGGTGCTTCACGGTACCGGCGACGAAGCGAAAGGGGAACTGGGTGGACGAGATGGTCTCGAAGCCGCAGTTGCCGGCGTCGATGCCGTCGTAGAAGGTGCTACGTCCGGTCTGCCATTCGCCCAAGGGAGTCTGCGCGTTGGCGCCTCCGATGCCGGCGGCGATGAAGATGACGACGGCAGCGAAGATGACAAAGAGTGGGTGGGCTCGCGAGGGTGATGGCATTGTGCGTGCAGGGAGGTCACTGTAGGCAACGTCGATGTTGTTCTGAGGTGGGGAGGCAAGCGAAAGTGCAGGAGTGATGCTCCGGGAGCCTTATGTAGTTGATCCTCGTTGCCTCGGTGACTACCCTCCATAGGCCCATTTTCTCCTGCGAAGCCACCTCTCCCATCATCGCACACCGAACCGTAGCCAGTGCGTCGCACACCAACCAATTGCTGTCGACTCTTCGTATGCAAAGAATGAGAGGAATTTATACAATTTAAAATTACACTTAATTAATGGTTGTGTGCGCTACGCCACTCAATGGGTGACGGCTCTTCAGGCAAAGTTGGCGGAGAGGGAGAAGGTGGCGCCGGCCGACATGGACGTGATGGTGCCCATCACGTTCTTGACCGAGCCCTGCCACACGCGCACGCCCAGCGGGAACTGGAGGCCCGAGCCCGACGTCGCCAGCCAGTAGTTGTAGTCCTGCCTCGTCGCCTCGAGCCACGAGCCAGTCGTGCCGCTGCTGCGCACCTCGACCTTGGTCACGGCGCCCGAGCCGCCCACGTTGGTGGCCAGCAGGGCGAACCACCACGGGTTGGACCCGTCCTTGATCTTGACCTGCAGCTGGCCCTGCACCGGGCACGTCACGGGCCGGTACTGGGTGGTGACCACGCCCGCCGCGGTCTTGGCGATCTTGCCGAAGGCGCCGGCGCTCAGGTCAAAGTGGACCGCGTCGCCGCAGCACCACTGGGCGTTGCCGTCGCACGGGCACTGGTCGGTGACCTCCACGACCACGCTGCCGTTGACGCAGGCGTTGGCCAGATAGGCCGACCCGGTGCACTTGACCTCGAAGCACTGGCCACACGCCGCCGAGTTGGCGTAGAAGGCCGTGTTGGCCGCTGACCATTAATATTGTCATCACATGATGACGTCAGCGCTTCGTTATGTGTAAAGCAGATATGTTGAGCGGCAGTACCGGCAATGTAGCGATAGGGGAACTTGGTGGAGGAGAGGACGCCGAAGCCGCAGTTGCCCTGGTCGATGTCGGTGTAGAAGGTGCTTCGCCCGGTCTTCCAGCTTCCCTGGGCCGTCTGTCCGTGGGCGCCATGGGCCAGGAGCACGACCGCGACCAGCACGCACCCCAGAACCGCCTGAACACTTGAACCGACGGGCATTTTTGATTGTTGTAGTTGATGTTGTTTGTGTGTTGATGACGACGTTGGAGTCTCCTCCGCCTTTTTGTGAGCTGGCGTTGCTCAAGTGACCTCCTGAACGAACAGTTTGAGCTCCGATAGGTCGCCAGGGCTTCTCGACAGAACAACACTTCCCGTCAAGGTCCGTCTTCTTCGTCGTCGTCGCGCTCCGGACTGGTTGGCGCAATGATCCGCAGCGAGCCGCCACATAAGATGCCATACGACCGCCAAAAGTAACGCACACGCCACCGCACGCACTCACCGCACGCACCGCACGCACACTCGGAGAACAGGCGGGAGTAAGAAAGTACAAAGAAGGGCTGAAGTCCTTGTTGCCTACGCGGTGCGGCCACCGAGGGCCATCTTCATGAGGACCTCCTTGCGTCGGGCGGCCGGCGGCGGACACATGAAGCCCAGCATCTGCAGTTCGCCGATGGCCGTGAGGAAGCGGGCCAGCAGCTCGGCCTGCTGGTCGGCCGGCACGTCGGGTCGCACGCTGACGACCATCTTCGTCTTCTTCTTCTTGCTGCCGCTGCCTTTCTTGGTCTTGCTCTCGCTCTCGCTTCCGGTGTTGTCCACGTCCACGGTCTCGTCGTCGCTGTCGTTGTCCGTCGTCGGAGCCTCCTTCTTGGCCGCCTTGCCGGCGCCTCTCTTTGCGGCCGCCTGTCGGCGCGGGGTGGCGGCGGGCTTCTTCTTCGCGGAGGCTGTCGTCGCCGCCGTCTTTCGTCGCTTGGCCGGTTTTTCATCCTCGCTCTGCTCCGGCACCATCTCGAACATCTGCTGATCAACCATAAATCAGCCATCGCACACGCACGACCGCACGCACTACCACACACACAACACACACAACACACACACACAACACACACACACACACACAACACAACACACGATGTCGATGCGACGTACGTCGGGCTTCATGCGCTCGCAGAAAGCGTCGAACCAGTCCTTGAGGTTGATGACTTTACCCTGGCCCTTGTAGAGCTCGAACGCGATGGCGGTGTCGATGTGCTCCGCGGGCCATGACAAGCTGGAGAATCCCAGATACCCCTCCGGCTGGCTCAGCGCTTGCTTGACCGTGGTCAACGGAGCGGCATTGAAGCACTGTGTTGGACATGACACACGACCACATACGACAAGCGCAGGTTAGGTCGCCCGTCGCGTTGCAGGCCCTTTGGCAGAGCAGAGCGGGCGCGTACCTCGTCGAGTCTATCCGTTGCATTGTAGTAGAAGACCTCATGCAGCGGGAACACACAGTACGCAGGCAGCTGAGACCTGTCGCAAGTGTTGAGAGTGAGTCGGCCGCACACCGAAGACACGCACTGGGTGTGTGTTACGTACGAGAAAAATCGGATGAGGAAGGCCTGCAGATCCTGCTTGAGCTGCTGCTCGATGTCATCGGTCCAGCTCTCCATCCAGGCGGCGATACGCTTCGACGAGGTCCCCTTCCGCAGGACGTGCGTTCGCGGCGTGTAGGGCGAGGCCTGCGCGTACGGCGACTGAGGGGGCACATAGTTCGAGGAACGCCGCAGCGGCGTGGAATTGGCGGACGTCGATGGTGTGGCGTTCTCGTCGCTGCACGAAGTCAGAGAAGTGAGTCAGGCACACTCCGCATGCGCCGCGCACAGCGCACAGCACACAGCATGCGTACTTTGTTTGTTTGGTCAAGGCGTCAACGCGCGCTTGCAGGCGTTCGCGCAATCGCTCGATATCGGCCAGCAGCAGCTGCTTGGTCTGATCGAGCTCCGGCTGGCACGTCGCGCCTCGTTTCCCGGCATACCAGCAGCGATGCTCGACTCCTCGGCCGTGTCGTAGTCGAACGGTTGGAAGTCATGTGCGACAGAGAGAATGGCGTGGAAGTCACGCAGGAGCTGCGTCAGCGGCGCCAACTCCATCGCAGAGCTCCTGCGACAGTACAACGCAGTTTTTGTTGAAGTCAGTAAATGCGGCCAAGGCAGAGAGCCAGGGCGATGAAGGGAAGGGCACGCACTTGATGGCATGTACGGCGGACAGAAAGAGACGAGAGTTGACGAAGGCGCTGCGCACGGGCAAGGAGAACTTGTCGAACCGCAACGCCGGTGCGTGGCCAGACTAAGCGATTCGGGGGGGGGAAAGGCCCATGAGATGTAGTCTTGCTTTTTGGGCGCTGCGGCGGAGGTACCTGCATGCGGAAGAAGTCGGGCGTGGGCAGGCAGTGACGAAAGATCTCCTTGCGGGTGATGTCGTCGGCCGACCGACCCTGTGCATCAAGAGAATACGACAGAGACGAGTGTCAGTGTCTGGACTGAAAACACAAACTGCGATCATCAACTCCATCGACGCGGAAGGCGGGCACACCTCGAGCGTCACCAAAGCGACCGCGCACTCTCGCATCACGTGCGAATTCCTGCATTGGTCACAACAGGGACCAGTAGGAGTGCGGAGTTAGCAGCCGCGCGAGTAAGGTCAGGGAAGTGGGCGAGGCCGTCGTACCGGTGAAGCCGCCGAATATCGTCCAGCCACACCGCAGTCTTGACGCGCAGGTAGTCCGGGTCGACTTCCAGCAGCTCCCATTCAGTGATCTCGTCGATGTTGTAACTCTCGGCCTCGTCCTTCGCGTCCCCTACGTCCATCTCCACTCCATCGCCACCTCCACGTCCATCTCCGCTTCTCCTCCTTCATCTTCGTCTTCGTTTCTTTTTTTATGGGCTGTTCGGCCGCTGGCGCAGTGGCGTTTTCTTCGGCCGATGACGGCTCCTCTGCGCTTGTCTGCTTGGAGTCATCCGCGACGTCCATCACCGTGCCGGAGGTTTGTTCGCTGTTGCCGACTGCGGCCGCAGACTGCTTGGCTTGCAGCGCTCGCCGCCTCGTTTTGAGGGCCTTGAGCCTTTGGATCATAGCCGGCGAAGGCCCGGCGTCAGTCTGCTTAATCAGGCGCAGCTCTCTGGATTTGAGTAATTATTGGTCAATAGTCAAACTGATGAAGATAATAGATGGTTGCACGGCGTGTATAGCTACGCACTTCGCGACAGACTTTGTTCTTTGGATGTGGTCGAGATGCACTGCGCTTAGGCGCTCGCCGACCGAATCGAAGAAATCGTCGTCGTGCAGACTTCGACACAGGAATGCCAGATGGTTCCGCCAGAAGTGTTCAATGGTGGCGAGCTATCACAATAAGACCACACGAGGACGCACACGGTCAGTCGCACCAAAGGTGAGGGCAAGGCCGGGAGCGCATACCGTCAACTCGCGCTGTAGACTCTGTATCGACAGGTGCAAGCTGTAAAAGCTGTCGAGTACCCACTCCACCGTCTTGTAGCCAAACTGCACCCCCATGTCGTTGCGCATGATAACCTGAGGGGAGAGGAACAAATAAGACTTAGCCATCAGAGCTCTCGGGCGCTCAAGGGAGCGGATTGCACCTCCTTGAATATCTCCTCGAACGACTCTGATGATGAGTGGAACGTAAATTTGCGGGTGGCGAGGCGGCCAGACACGGATCGAGGTAACATTCTGAGAAGGGGGCAGTAACAAGGCGCTAGATCAGTATGTCGCCTCGATCTTGCATTGACATGCACACAGGCGCACAGTACCTGTGCAAGGCGTCGGCCGACGTCGCCAGTCCCAACACCAGTACAAAGGGTATGTCGGCCTGATAGTAACTGCAGTTGTGCGAGTTTTGTGGGCGTCAAAAACAAGTGACCGAAATGGATCATGACAACTCGCAGAGAGTGGATTACCTGAGTATGGAGATAAGCTCCTTGAGCACGTCCGCATCGAATGCCTCGAAGTCCTCGATCACGACAACCAGCGGAGGTTCGCAGCCAGCGTCCTTCGTACCCTCCACCACCATACTAGATGGAACGAAAACAATGAAGCGTGTCACGCTCAGTGTGCAAAGACGAACATAATTTCGAAGCGGGTCGTACCTCTCCGCAATGGGGGCAAGCGAAGCCGACTCGGCCGCGGGCTCGACGTACTGCCATCCCTTGATCTTGTACCAGTACTGAAGGGCGCGCATCGTAGCCTGCACAATGAAGCCGCAAAGAAGAAGGTCGACACCATCAGAACAGCACTGCACAAACCCACACGTGGAGTCAAGCATACCTTTCCTTCCTTCACCGAGAAGGCTGGATTGGAACCGATGAACTGGACAACTAGGGACTTGATGATCGGCTTGAGCATCATCTTGCAGTCCTTCGATCGAAGGCTGGCCACTCTCTGCCCGCCGGATCGCAGCGACTGTGCAAGCTGAGCGAACATGCGGTCGTGGTCGGGCACATTCACTGGGAAGGACAAGTGTCAGCCACTACGGAACAACGCAAAATTGAGAACGCCATAGCGCACCTCCTACGAACAGCAAGGCGGTGGGTATTTCGAGTTTGGCAGGCTTGGCCAACTGCTCGAGCAGGAGATCGAGCTCGTCGTCACCACCCATGCCAGCGTGTTGGCCGGATGGAGCACGACGACGGCCACTCGCGGCCACGAACTCGCTAATGGTGCCCAATAAGCTGGAGTCAACAGAAAAAAGGATGTTCTGTGAACGCACAAGGATCAATGTCAGCGGTGAACATTGCGCGTGCGTGCGTGCGTGCGGTGGAAAATGTTGCGTGCCTCGATCTTGGCGTTGATCTTGGCGATGTGTTCTCGGCTCAGCCGCTCACGCTCCTTTGCTGAGCCGTCGTCCATCATGAAATCCATCATGAAGGCTACACGGGGTGGAAAATGCTGGTTAGCGACTTCGCTTTGCATCGCTGGGAGGCCGGGTGCCACGTACTGGCTTCCTTCAGGCTCGGCTGGCGGAGGGCCTGGTCGGTGGTGATGCCCGCGTAAGAGCGGAGCTTCTTTACGGTGTTGGCTTGTTCCTTGGCCGCCACCTGCGTGTACGAGAACGTCCTTGGCAGTGAGAGGGTGATGCCGGACATCTTGCCTTCCGTTCGCTCCTTGAGCTGCTCCTCGATCATTCGTCTGTGGCGCTGCGCCCGGCTGCTGACAAGTCCGGCGAGCGTCGTCGCCCCCTTTTCTTGTTTGCTCCATCGTTCAAACAATTTGCCTGTCTCTTTACTCAGCTCGACTCCTTCGCGTTTCTTCTTGATGCGCACTCTCGCCGTTTTGTCGGGCACATACTCGTTCTCACTTCTGTCCTCCGCCTCGCTCTCCCCCATGTGTTCCCTTTCCTGCTGCCCACTCTCCTCGACCACCTGACTCTCCTCTACCACTTTCGGCATTGCCGCCATAGCTTCTTCCTCTTCGCTGGGCCTTTGATCCAGTTCCATAAGCAACCCTCCATCGGTCGTTGCGGATGGGAAATTTGTGGGCGAATTTTGAGAGCTCGACGATTCATCATCTCTGGGAGGCCTCGGGGTGTCCGTGTTGGCCGAAGTCGAGCGGGGCGGTTGTCGCGTGCGCCTGGCCACCCGTCTCGGCCTTGGCGTTTCCATTCTACGTGCAAAAAAAAAGAATTAATAAATCAATTCACTCTTCTCTTCTTCGCGCCCTTTTTTTGGCGGGAAACACTGTTCTTTCATGCCGGGAATTCCTCGGGCGAGAAATCTCAAGCCCGCCATTCAGGTGACACTTTGTCATCTAAAGCGACAAGAACTTCTTCTTCAGCGCCGGGAATGGCTGTCTCGGCCGAGCTCCGTTCTTCCCGCACAGACTCAAGTGCGGCGAGGCTGCATTTCTTCTTCGCCAAAACCAACCGAAGCACTCCACACAACCCACCTCGAACAAGAACATGGCCACCAGGAAGACGCTGAAGGTGTTGGGCATTTCGGGCAGCTTGCGCCAGGCCTCGGTCAACTCAGGTCTGCTGCGGTCGGCCGCCTCGTCGGCCGCTCGCCTCAACTCGAACCCCTCGGCCACCACCGCGCCCGCTTCGCCCGTCGTCGACTACAGCTTCGACTTTAAGATCTACGACGGGATGAAGGACATCCCGCTCTACGACGGCGACGTAGAGGCGCAGACCAAGCCCGAGTCGGTGCTCCGCTTCCGGCGCGCCATCGACGAGGCCGACGCGCTGCTCATCGCCTCGCCCGAGTACAACTACAGCTTCTCGGGCGTGCTCAAGAACGCCATCGACTGGGCCTCCAGGAACTGGGACGGCCACATGCCCCTCGCCGGCAAGCCCGCAGCCATCATGGGCGCCGGCGGAGTATCGGGTACGTGTGCCACGGTGTCGTCACACCACCACCACCCTCGCTGAGCAACTCAAACTAACGTTCGTGGGTGGTCAAAGGCTCGAGCAGGTCGCAGTACCACCTGAGGCAGGTGTTGGTGGGCGTGGGCATGCCGGTGCTGTTGCGGCCGGAGGTGATGATCAATGCCTTCGTGCCGGGCTCGTTCGACGCCAACGGCGACCTCATCCACGAGCCCACCAAGGCCGAGATCGAGCGTCAACTCTTGGCTCTCGCCCTGTGGGCCGACCGTCTGCGCGGTTAGATCCAATCGGAAAGAGAAATAGATTTTAAGACTCCTGAATGAGCACATGTGTTGCAATGTATCCGAGAATTTACCCGCGGGCAGGCGCCATTGAGACGAGAAAAATGAAATTTGGATTGATACAAAGGCGGTGATGTGTACACGTACATAAAGAATGATGAGAGATAGAGAGAAGAGAGAGAGAAGAGAGAGAGAGAAGAGAGAGCTGGCGAGGGCGAGATGGTGGACGCGTGCTTAGTTGTCTGAGAGAGCAACGCAGGAGACGGCCTTGTGGTGGCCACGGTAGCGGCGAATCGTCTCGCCCGCAGACAGCTCCCACAACCACGCTTCGTTGTCCGAAGACGCTGGGTGGACAGAGAGCGACATCAGCGCGCTCAAGATAACAACAAAGAACTGAAAGATAAGGATGAAAGGAATAGTTGATGATTGCTGGTTACCGGTAACGAGGTAGGCAGAGTCGGTGGAGAACACGCAATCCCACACCCAGCGTCCGTGGCCCTAACGGGTATTGAGAAGCGTAAATGGCCAATCCTTCACCTACGACAACTTGGTGAAAGGCATACTACCTGAAGAGTCTTGAGCAACTTGTAGTCCTTCGTGTTCCACAGCTTGACAGTCTTGTCTGCCGAGCACGTTGCCAATATCCTGAAGATGAAGAAGTACCAGCAGATCGTTGGTAAGGCGAGTGGATGCGAGAGGACGACACTGATGACTGGGCAAGGGTGCGTACTTGGCGTCAGGCGAGTAGAGCACTTTCAAGATGTAGGACTTGTGCGCGTCAATGTGAGTGAGCGGTTCGAACTTGGAGTCGGGCGCAAGCTTCCACACGTAGCATCGGCCTTTGTTGTTGGCAGCCACCACCTGCGAGCCGTCGGGCGACACGTGAATGGAGCGCACGGCCACCTCAGGTTCGGGCGCCTGGATGATGATGATCATCGTTCACGTGATGAGCCACCTGCAAAAAGACAACAAGACAAGAGTTGCACGCGTGCGACGTTGTGTGTGCGTACGTATTCTGTGCACTTGTTCTCGGCCAGGTCCCACACGCGGATGTTACCGTTCTGAAGACCGCAGATGAGCTCGGCCTGGTTGGGGTGGAGTGCGACACTGTTCACGGCAGCACCGCAGTCGTAGTCCCTCTGGCAGCCCGAAGCCCTACGCGCACGCAGAGCCCGAGCACGAACGTTCAACGTTGAGTCAAGAGGCACGGTGGGTCGCGCGTGAGAGCAAGAAGGTAGGCCACAACAAGAGCGAGGGGGCGGCAGCGAACCTAAGATCCCAGATCTTGACGGTGCCATCCTCTGAGCCGGTGTACATCCATTTGCCCTCCCTCTGAAAGCCAAGGCTCGTCACGTTCGTCGTGTGGCCATCAAAGCTCATCACCTGTGGCGATTTTCATCAAAGAGGGGGGGGGCGAGGCGGTAGGTGAGAACGTGAGGCACAAGATGATTGGCAATGAGAAGGGAGAGCATTGGAAAGGAGAGCCGTACAGCGCTTTGGTTATTGGAATTAATGTCAAAAAATCGGACGTGAGGATTGCCAGCAGCGGCGAGAAGGCATTTGTCAGGCGTGATGGCAATTCGATTGACCTGTGAGTCAGGGTATTGGATGGTGCGCGTCGGCATGCTCGTAGGTGCCTCCCAGAATCGAATCGTGTGGTCATAGCTCGCCGTCGCCAAAATCACCTTTGCCATCTTGTGCTGTAACTAATACTTTCTGTCCACCCGAATCGCTTCCTATCTTGTAAAGATGCACAGCAGCGACGTCAACTTCGCTAGCCACTTCCAGATCAATGCCCAAGATCCAAGATCAATCAAGGACGCAAAAGAAAATACAACAGAAAAAGGGTTCCGAAAAGTTGTGATTTATTCATCACCAAATGGAAGGCGAAGGGAATGGCAGCGCAGGTGGGCCTGCCCCCCTCGCCCAAAGAAAGGTCTATCGCGGCAGGCGAACGACGGAGATGAACCAAATCGACGAGAGCATGCTGATTCTGCCCCGCGAAGAAGGTACTCATCCATCTCCAATCACCTGCTTACCTCTCCGGCGTCTAAGCCTAATAAGTCTCAACAGATGACGACGAAGAAGAGGCTCACATGGAGATGGATGCAGCACAAGCGTACGCTTTTCCCTACGTCCCTGTCTAATGCGTGTGTTGGCCAGCCTCATCACCCTTGGCTGTCGTGCGCAGGCGGCAGGTCGAGGCGCAGGAGGCGCAGGCCAGGGCACAAATGCAGGCACAGAACCTGGCCAAGCTGTCTCGCCGTCCCGAGGAGGTACTCCGCGACCTTGAGCAAGAGGCCGAGGTGCTCAAGAACCTCCATCACAAGATCTCCCAGCAGCTGCACATGCTCCAGGTACGTACCAGCAAAGCCTCCAGCGCCCTCCCCCGCTGGTCTGTAAAGGTCATATGATCGGCTTGCACGTTGGCCTTACCCACTTGGCCGCGCTCGACCAGGTCGAGGAGATCGTGCTGAAGAAACAGGCGGAGCTCAGCAACTTTGCGACCTACTGAGCTACTTCGACTGGAGGCGAGGAACTTCGCGTTCGCTCATCGTACGGTGATTCACCCAGGGACCCATCCTACTACCAACAAACTGCGTAGTGAGTAGTGCACTCAAGATGCGCAGGCCACCACCCCAACCCATCGCCGTGCGGCTACGCAGCGTGCCACTGTGCTCTCTCTGTGCGTGTCTCGCTTCTGTCAAGCGTTGTGCACAGCAGCTGTATCATCACTGCTATAAACATGTTCGTGGAACTCACTTTGCACATGATGTGGACGTTCTTGTGTTGTGGAGCCATGAGGCACCAGCGTGTTGAGGTGTATTAGTGCGAGGCCAAGCTCTTTCGGCCTGAATTTCAGTGCAGCACGAGAGAAAGCAGAGTGCGCCACTGCGCGCTGCAAACACAACAACTTTGCACAGTTAGAAGATGGAAGGCAGTGGCAGTGGCGGACAGCAAGCGGGCACTGGCGCGGGTGGCGGAGAGGGTAAGAACCCGTTCGAAGAGTTGCGAAAGAAGATGGAGGCAGCGGGCAAGACCCAGCACGGGCCATCTTCTTCGATGGGCACGCAGCAGCATCTGGAGCAAGCGCGCAAGCTGCTCTACGCCAAGAACTCTGCGGAGGCGCGCAACGTGGCTAGCTTCATGCGGCTCACCAACTACGCGTGGAGCGGCATCTCGTTTGCGCTACTCTTTGCTTTTTCGATGTCGGCTCTCTACAAGTACTTCAAGAAGCCCGAGCCACAGGAAAAGGTGAGCATCAACGCAACGCATGAGCATGTGTAAATTGTGTTGTGTAATTTTTCTAACATTGATTTATGAATGTCTAAATCTTCTTTTACTTGGAACTGTGGTAGGAGAGTGACGCGAGGCAGTGATAGTGCACCAGGCAAGCCTTTAGATGTAGATAGCAAGAGATTAAAGTTGAAACAGCGCCTGCTGTATTGTTTATTTAATTCTTTTTTTCTTCCTTTTTAGTAGAAGAAACACAGAGAAATCACAGGGTAAAAAAGGACTTTATTCTTCGAATTTGAGGCGGAGGATAGAGGACAAGATGATGAAGCGCACCACAACACTCGTCACGGGCGGTCGACGATTTGCTGGCCTTCAATCTCCTGTGGTGCCTTTCGCCTGGGCTGGTCGGCAAGCAACATCGTCATCTGCATCGACGCTCCGATCCGCCCGCCTCTACTCTGCTGGTGCGGTCCCTTCACAACACTCCTTTTTTCAATCAATGCACTTCTTCAAATCTTTTAATCGAATAATCCACATTTTCAAATGCCCCTCCAGATGCTGACTCGAAGAAGACGTACGCATCTCTCTCTCGTGCAACGGGGCACAGTGGCTCCACTCACGACTTTGAAGTTGTGAGGTCTGTTCGCTGGTGGTAACATGGTGGTGCGTGGACACAGCGTGCACGTCACCTTCATCGACAAGGATGGCACAGAAATCCCTCTCGAGGCTCCGGTCGGCAAGTCCGTTCTCGAGCTCGCCCACGACAACAAGATAGACCTTGAAGGAGGTCCGTCGCACTCCCGACCTTCATGTGTGTTGTCGTGTGTGTTGTCATGTGCCCTGGGTGTGGCTCACTGCGTTTTTTTATAAAACACGTGTAGCGTGCGAGGCCTCGCTTGCCTGCAGTACGTGCCATGTCATCCTGGACAAGGAGTACTACGACAAGCTGCCAGCGCCCGTCGAAGAGGAGGAGGACATGCTCGACCTTGCCTTTGGTCTCACGGAAACGTACGTTTACCGCTTGACTTGCGGTGTGTGCGGTGAATGGGTTGCGTGGGCGTGTCCACGAGCTAACGATAGAGCGACGCCGCCTTCACGATCTTATCAGGTCTCGTCTCGGGTGCCAGATCATCATCTCTCCCGAGCTGGAAGGCATCAGGCTCAAGCTGCCACCAGCGACGAGGAACATGATGGGTTAGACACATCTATATTCAGCTTCTTCCTTCATCTTACTAGACTGGTTTCTCGCTGCTCCTCGTCTCCCTCTCTCCTCTTTTCCTTTGCTTTACACTGTGCCAAACTTTCCGTTGCTGACTCTCTCTCTTCTCTGTATGTTGTGTGTGTGGTGTGGTGTGGTGTGTGTGTGTGTGTGATAGTTGACGGATATAAGCCGCCGCACCACTGAGCGAGCACAGTCGCCGTTCAGTTTGTAGAGGCACACCCCAAAACCCGCTCGTAAAAGATGACTGCAATCTGCAGCGTTCACACCTCGCAGGCCACTGAGTCGAATTATCGCTTTTCGTGTGAGTGGGAATCAGATATACATGCGGCCACATGCTGGCGTGTGATTGTCTTTGTTGGCTGTTACGTGTGTGCCGTCGTGTGTTTTGTTGTGTGCGTGTGCGTGTGCGGCGCACGCACGCGTCATACGTCTTCGCCTCGCACCCGCGCGTTGACGACGCTCTGCACCGCGCCTACGGCGCATGTGGGGCACACGGGCTTGCCGTTCTTCTCTCGAGGTCGCGCGTTCGAGATCTGCTTGTTGCACACCGCACAGATCACGCACTCCGGATGCCAGTGCTTCCTGTCGTGTCGTGTGTCGTGTTGTCGTGTCGCGTGTGCGGTGGTGTGAGAAAGACGACAGAGACCCACCAAAGATGATGAGAGGCGAACCTCAAGCAGTAGGCCGCCACGGCGGTGATGGGCTTCCCACATCCGCCGCAGATGCGCTGCTCCGCCTTGGGCACGTGCGCCGGGCAGTAGGCTGACCCCACCACCACATGAGAAGGCACTCGCTGATGGACAGTAGAACGTAGTAAAGATGGAGGAGTGGGTGTGTCGCACCCTTGCCATCAGAGTCGGTGGCGAACCCGCCGGTGATCTGCTGCTTGCATGCTGGAACGTTGGAAGAGCAGCATCAATCTCCCAATCCACTTTCCCGTCCAGCTCACCTCCCCCCTCGCACAAATCTAAAATCTCTCATCCTCTCTTCTTCTAAACGAGTACTAGCGAGGGCGGCCATACAGGAGCAGGTAAAGTGCTGAGGGTGCCACTTCTGGTCGAGCGCGCTCAGCACCTGGTCGCCAGCCTTGAATCCCTCCTTGCAGCCCGCACACGTTCCTTGCATCTTTTTATTTTACTCTCTGTCGTTGCGCTGCCCGTGAAAACTTTGTTGGCCCACACATTGCGTTCACAAGTCGTCCACGGCGTGGCCCTCTTGTTGGTGCTTGTCCCTCGAAGCCTTCGCGGCCGAGGGAAAGGAGGACGCCTTTCATAGCCCGTGACCTTCGTCGGAGTTTCCACCATCAAGGTCGCTCCGTCATACTTGATGCGGAGGACCAAACAACAACAAGGCAGAGCAGGAAGATGAAGATGGAGAAGGAGGGGGCGAGCCACAGCAGCGAGTCGAGCGCCCTCCTGTTGAGCAATGGGGTGGCGGCACACCACAAGTCTATACAAGAGCCCGACGCCACCGAGCTGGGCGTTGACAAGCTCCCAACTCCACACCACCACGAGGAGCGCAAAGTCACCCGGCTCGAGATGTGGATAGGTACCCCACCCCTTCCTCCCTTTCCGGTTTTTTTCCTTCCATTTCGTTTTTCGTTATTTGTTTTTCGTTTTCGTTCTTTTTAATTCTGGTGGCCGGTGCTAAAGGGCTGGCGCTGGGCTGGTGCAGACGCCCTGGCCAGCATCGTGGTCACGCTGACGATCCTGCCGCTGATGGAGATCCTGAACGCGCCCAAGGAGGAGCGCATCCTGACCATCGCCTTCCTGCTGTTCTCGGTGGTGTTGGGCTTCAGCTTCATGTCGCTGGTGATGACCAACACCTACCTGGCCTTCAACTGGTTCGGCGACCACCACGCCACCGACCCGGTGCTCTACGCCCTCGGGCTCCTCTTTCTCGCTTCGCTTTCGCTCTTTGCCTTCGCCGTGCAGAGCCTGCTCGAGGCCTACATCGACAGCTCGGCCGTCTACTTCTTCGGCGGTACCTTCATCGCCATCTACGCCTCGTGCTTCCTCCTCTTCCTCTACTGCCTGCGCGCGACCGACATTCGCCAGAAGGTGGCGCGCGAGTCGGCCGTCAACTATGAGATTGCGTTCTTTGTGTGCACCATCGCCACGCTGGCCGTAATGATGATCGTGAGCACATTCGTCAGCTCGGACTACCAGTCCTACGTCATGTACGGCGTGCTGGCTGCGCTGCTGCTCACCCACCGGGCCACGCGCACCGAGGCCAACTTCACCGCGCTCCTCCCGGGCGGCTTCCCCAAGGAGCGCATCGACGTCTTCACCGACGGCGTCTACGCCGTGGCCGTCACCCTGTTCCTCATCGAGATCAGATATCCCGCCGGCGTTGATGCTCGCGAGGCCATTGCTCTTGCCGTACGCGTGTGCGTGCGTGCGTGCGTGCGTGCGCGTGCGTGTGTGTGTGTGTGCGGCGCGGTGTGCGTGTGTGCGTGTGTGCGTGTGTGGTATTGACTGACAAGGCTTTGGTTGAGGTGGAAAACAGTTCCTGAAGGAGGAATGGCGAGCTGTCGCGGGCCATTTCGTGTCGTTCGCGGTGCTCGGGGTGCACTGGTGCCTGCAGAACTTCATCGCGGCCCATATCGAGCGAGTCTCGCGCACCATGTACGACCTGACCATGATCCACTGCGCGGCCGCCGCCCTGTTCCCCTTCACCATGAAGCTCGCCCTGCTCTGCGAGAACCCCGGTTGGGAGGTCGTCGCGCCCCTCGTCGTCTACTTCAACCTGTCGCTCTCGCAGCTGGGCCTCTGGCTTCGAACGCGCGGGACCATCAGCGACAAGCTCGCCAGCTGGCTCACGGGCGGCCTCATCAGCATCACCGTGGTGCTCTACGTGAGCTACGAGCTCTTTACAGCCCTCCATTAAAACTCCTTTTTCTCGCTTCGTCTTTCCTCGTCGCTTTCGTTTTTTACCAATAATGGATTAGAAATTAAAAAAATTCGGAGTTTCAGGGAAGGTCGCGACGTGGTTGGCGCGCGCAAGAAGCTGGTAGCCAATGGGAGACTATTCGTTGTGTTGTCTTCCGACTACTGCGTTAGGTGAAGACACGCCATTTGGGAGACACCTTGCCCCAGCAGGGCCTATTCATGCCCCGACACCTTGCACCATCATCAAGTTCGGCAGACCACACGTCGTTCTCATTCTCGGTTCCGGAGAAGAATGAAGGGTGCCGAGCTTGATGCGGCGACCACCCCGCCTCCCTCTGTCTTCACCAACGCCGGAGGGGAGCCTTCGCTTTCGCTTTCTTCCATCCCCGAACCACCAGGCCCGTCCAAGTTCGAGCAGCTTCATGGTAAAGCAGACGAGGAGGACCTTGTCTTGTTGTACAGACCCAGCCTCCGCGTCAGACTCCGAACAGCCCTTCACACCGCCGTCGTTTGGATCTGCGCCCTCTTCACCCTGCCCGACTATGTCACCGGCGGCTCCAACGGCGGCGGCGGCGGCGGCAGCGACGACCGCTACGCGCGTCTGGAGTGGGACGACATGGAGGAGGAGGGCTACAGCGTGGCCCAGGGCAAGGAGTTCGTTCTCCGGTTCGCCCGGGCCCTGGCCAACACCGACATGGCCACCCACAAGGTGACCGACATGTGCACCACCCTGGCCAAGTCGCTCGGCATCGAGGCCTCGTTCCTCGTGCTCCACTCGACCATCATCGCCTCCTTCCCCCAGCTCACTCCCTCCTCCTCTGCTTCTTCGTCGTCTCCATCACCTTCTTCACATTCTTCGCCGGCGCCGCCGTCGCCTCCGACCGACCACCGCCACCCGCAGCCGCTGGCCGCACCCCTGCTGGCCATGGAGCTCGATGAAGGTGGTGGCGATGATGATGGTGATGGGGAATTGGAAGAAGCCGATGGAGGTGGGCGTTCGTGGTGGCCCAAGCGAAAGCGAAAGCGCGACCGGTCGGCCTGGATGTCGTCGCACAGGTGGGTGGCGAGCACCCGGGGCCTGGCCAAGTCGGCCACGCCGGCCCAGCGGAAGCCGTTCACGTCCACCACCAACGAGCTCGCGTCGACGCAGACCCACATCATCCACACCGCGGCGGTGCGCAACTGCGAGATGATGCTCTACCTGGGCCTCCTCCGCCTGCGCCTCTCCACCGGTACCAACCGCTCACCACACCTGCGCAGACCGCACACGCACACACTCGCCGCACAAGCACTCACCGCACACGCACGCACGGGCTTGAAGGTAAGATGAGTTTGGGGCAGGCGATCGATGCGTTGGAGAGGATCGAGAGTGCGCCGCCGAGGTACCACCCGTTGGCGACGATCGCCAGCTCGGCCTTGACCTCGGCCTCCTGCATCACAGTCTTCTACGGCGGCGGCTGGGCTGATATCTGGCTCGCGCTGCTCCTGGGTACCACCTCCACCGCAAAAACACACCCTCGTATATATATATATATAAACACATGTTCGTCGAGTTAACATTAATATGTGGCGAACATGTTGTGACATAGGCACGATGGTGAGCACGGTGACGTACATGTGCGGCCGGCGGATGGGGATGCGGGGCTTCTCGGACTTCACCGCGGCCATTGTGATCGCCTTCTTCGGCTCAGTGCTGGCCTCGCTCCACGGGGGCCTCTGCTACCAAGGCGACCTCATCGCCGGTACCTCTGGTCTTTTCCTATTCTTCAGTGCGCGCGGCGACTGATCGTGTTGTTGTGTGCTTTCGCGATTTTAGCGTTGGTGTGGCCGCTCCCGGGCATTGCGATCACGGTGGCCATGCAGGAGTTGGCCGCGCTCAACGTCACCACGGGCGCGTCGCGGCTGGTCTTGAGCTACTTCGCACTCATTCAGCTGGGCCTGGGTACCGACTACTGTGCCAACAGTGCCAACACGGCCCTCTCTTGCCACCGCTAAAGTGGGTTCGTGGGGTGGGTCGACGCGCAGGGATTTCGATCGGCGAGACGGTGCTGGCCAAGGCGTGGCCGGGGGCGATCCCCAACATGTGCCACGATGTGGGACTGTGGGAGAGGTCCGTCCTTCTGCCGATCGCTTCTCTGGGCTTCTCCGGTTTGCTCAAGGTACGCTCCTCACAAACTGTTTTCCCTTCGCTCGTGCTCACCCGTCCCCGCAACCGCACACGCCACTCACATAAACACATAAACACACACCACATATCAGTCGCACCCGGTCCAGTACCCGCCACAGCTCATCATGGCCATCGTGTCCTACTTCATCAAGGTCGTCAGCCTCGAGTACCTCGAGTTCAGCGACGACAACGCCACCGCCATCAGCGCCTTCAGCGTCGGCATTAATGGGTGAGTCCTCTTCGCCGACCGTCCTGCGTTCTTGTTATCGTGGCGCCGTTGCTGATCATAACATGATCTCCATCGCCGACGTACAGGTAACCTGTACAGCCGATTCTCGGGCCACCCAGCCTACGCGCTCACCCTGCAGGCCCTATTCGTCGTCCGCACTGGTGGCATCGGCCTTCGCGGTACACCCAAAAGCTGCTCAGCCTGACGCGCACACAGGCCCTCAGCTGATTGTGTCGATGACCATGTGCGCAGGAATGCGGGCGATCGCTGCCGGCGACTTCATGGGCGGGCTCACGCTCATCTACACCATGACCTCGAACAGCTTTGCCCTCGCCATAGGTGCGCGCCTCCTCCGTTCGCAGGCAACTCAACTCTGCGCTGTGTGTTGACCACCGTCCTCGCAGGCTTGTTGGCGGCCAACATTCCCTTCCGCTTCCGCTCTCGCAACCGCTACTCCAAGTGGTGAGCGGCACACAAACTAAATAAATATAAATGTACTAAATGATAATAATAGAATATAAATGAGAATAATTGGGTAAGAGTTGGATTTGTTTGGATTTGTTTGGCTGTGGGCCAGGTTGTTGTTATTTGTTTGCTTCACGTGGAGGTGACAGGAGGAGCGGTGAAGTTGGCTTGGGTGTGGTAGTAGTACTGTGCCGCCTTGTCGATCGTGGTCTGCTTGCCCTCCAGCGCGCTTCCTGGCGATTGCCACCACCACCATCACACCACCACGTGAGTAAACGTTTACGTTAGTGGTGAAGAAGAAGATGGTGATGATGAAGATGAAAGAAAACGAGAAAAAGGTGAACAGCGACACGCACGCGTATTTACAATGCACAATGCAAAGAAAGCTGAGAGCGCTGCTTAGCTGAACGATCCATGCGGTGGAGGGGGCGGAGAAGTGAGCCGAGAGACTGAAGAAGAAGAGAAGAGAAGAGAGGAGAAGAAGGAGAGAAGAAACAAAACGACAAAGACGAACACAGATATGAGAGGAAAGAAATTGGCCCAACACAGAGGAATGAAGAGGATGATGCTATGATGAAAGAGAAGAAGAAGAAGAAGAATAAGAAGGAAATTTCATCTCTTGCGGGAGGGTAGAGTACCAATTTTGCGAATGTCGTCGCGCAGCTTTTGGAGGTCCTTCTTCAGTTTGTCGTTGCTGGGGTTCGACTGGAGCTTGCGCATGTACTCCTCTTCGATGTGCATGAGGCATCGGCCCAGCTTGTCCAAGCAATCCTGGAAATATTCCGTACGAGTCAGCAAGAAAGAAAGAAAGAAAGAAAGAAAGAAAGAAAGAAAGAAAGAAAGAGGTGAGTCACACGCGAGCAACGCCACACATAGGACGGGCGAGAGGAAACAATCCATACTGCAATGAACACCGCAAGAGCAAAGGGCACCTGATTTTTAGGTTCGAAGCGAAGCGCTTTGCGATAGTCGTCGGCGGCCAGGATGTACTCCTTCAGCGCCACCCACGCAGCCGCCCGTCGGGCGAAGGCCTGGCGAAGAGGGGTGAAAGTTGGTCACCTAAAGGTGTACGCGGTGGCGTAGAGCGCGTGCATACCTTGATGGAGGGCTTGCGATCAATGGAGGCCGTGCAGTCGGTGATTGACTCGTAGAATCGGTTCAGCTTGAGATACACCAGGGCCCTGTTGGAAAAGAACACCGCTTCTCTGTTGCGTCGCGATAGCACATATAGAGTGGAGAGATTAGCGAGATCACTACGAAGAGAAGCGGAACAGAACAAGAGAAAGTAGAGTACTCGGGGAAGAGCTTGATGGCGCGCGAGTAGTGGACCAGAGCCACCAGGTATTGAGCGTTCACGAAGGCGTCGTTACCCTGCGTAGAGCCACGTGTGAGCGAGCGCGGGGGGGGGGGAATTATATCGCGGGGCTGGGTGTGGCGTAGTAGGGTACCAACTCCTTCTCGCGCATGGCCTGCTCTTCGGCTTCCCGACGCGTGAGGGTCTCCAGGTCTGGAATGTAGGCGTCCAACGCCTCGCCGACTGGCACCAGGAGAGGAACGTCGTTCACGCTCGCCGGTGGTCGCAAACTGGTGCACACGTGACGGTAAAGTTGACGGTCAAATAAGTGAGATCCGCACCGCACAGCGACCAGCTGCCGCAGGAACAAGACATGCATGTAGCACACCACGGTAAGACGAGGGGAATCGCGCACTTGGTATCACCAGACTGAGGCGGCAGGACTCCATTTGTGCCTCTTTCTCCTTTCTTTGATGGTTGTGCCTGTTGGTGATGCCACGACGGAAACAAAGCGTAAGAGCTGGACAAATTGGAGGCCAGAACAGAAACATGCACGTGCCGGTTCCTGCCAGCAGCCAGCGCGCGCTCAATAATAAAGAGCTTGTGTGTGTGTGTGTGTGTGTGTGTGTGTGTGTGTAGCGGGTTACCTCAACGTCCAGGCCAACTAGCGATGTGTCCCCCATCCAATCGAGCACGCCTTTGTTCACTTTTATGTTCCTGTTGCCGATAAGAATAAGAATAATAATAGGGTCAATGTCTGAACGCGCAAGGTAAAAGAGAAGTTGCATACGATGCGTGGTACACGTACTTGGCTGTGGAGTCCTTCTTCTTCTGCGCAATCGCAGCGATGGTCTCCTTGGCCTTTTGTATCTTCTCGCGAAGAAAGGTGTTGCCCGGTTCGAGCTTGGACGCTCGCTCGAAGTCCTCGAACGCCTGCGTTATGCAACAGAGAGAGAGAGGCATGAGGACTGCGTGCGCACACATGAACGTCCACAGAGGGAGCTGCGCAAAGGCGATGCAAAGCGAGTGGAGGCGCACCTGTGTGAACTGTTGAAGGTAGAATCGCGACAGAGCACGACACACGTATGCTCGAAGGTAACGGCCATCGAGCTTGAGCGCGACCTTGCTGTCTTCCTCAGCCTTGGCAAACTCCTGTGCGATAGTACCATTAGGCGATTAGAGGCAGGTAATGCGAGCAAGAGAGAGAGAGAGAGAGAGAGGCTTGGTTGAGAAGAAGAGGTGTGTTGCCTTCAGCATGATGTGTGCAGCGGCGCGGTTGGTGAACAAGCTGACGATGAAGGCCGGATGTCGACCGTGAGTGAGGGCGATGGCGCGCGTGTAGTGCATGACCGCGGTGGCAAAGGCGGCCTTGAGGTATTCTTCATCCCCCTTCTTCTTCTCCGCCTTGGCATGCTCGTGCACCGCCTCGGGCTCCAACATCGCGCCTTGATGTGAAATCACAATAAACATTCAGAATGGTGGCGTTGAGAATAGATAAGAATGGCAGCGAGGATGGGATGGCAACACAATTTCAAATCGCCAAATGGTACCTGGATGTGGTGCTGGGCTGACAGCGGAAATGGACGAGCCCCCCTGCCCAGAGATGGGCTGCAGCGGCGGGGGCTGCGCCAAACCGCGGTTGGATTGCTGTACATCCGCCTGCGGCTGGAGGCCCGCTTGGGCTAGATTTGCGCTGTCGATTTTAATCAATGGAGGGATCGCTGATGGGGGCGCTGACCCATTGTGCAGCCCGGATGCAGCCGTTGATTCGGCACCGCCCCTCGCTCCGCTAGATGGGGTCGATTTCTTCTTCCCCTTCTTTGGCATTTGTCTCTGTTGGCTTGCTTGATCAATGAACAATCGTGGGGCTGGCTCTCTGGGAAAATGATTTCTTTTTCTATTTCTTCAAGGCAGCCACGCGGACGAACTGCGCTCCGCTCTGCTTCATTGTGTTGATGGCCTGTTCGGTGAGGCTGGGCACGAAGCCCCGTAGCGCGTCTTCGATGATGTAGACCGAGTGAGGCGGGAACAGCTGGACTGCATCCAGCACGGTATTCAGCACAGCCACGTCCGTGGCCACGCCTGAAGTGTGATCACACGACGCACTCATGTTCAGCCATCGGGGAAGCGTGTCACATCAATGCTTTGCAAAGGTACCGCAGATGAAGAGCTCCGTGATCTTGTGTCGTTGAAGGAGGTCATGGAGGCCCGTCGGGTTCCTAAGAATGTCGTGAAAGCAAGAGTAGGCCTCCGTCTCGGCCGGAAAGCCTTTGCGTACCACCAAATCATCGCCTCTACACCACCACCCAACACACCGTACCGATCGTGAGTAAGACTTGCACGGGGCAAGGGGACTGGGAGGAGTGGCCGCGGTAGCGCACCCTTCCTTCAGGCCGAGGCCGGGGTGGAACTGTGCGCCCCAAGTGTCTTGCACGCAGTGATCGGGCACCACCAGCTGAGTCCACTGGGGCATCTGCGTGCAGGTGTAGTGGTTGAGGTGAGGCCTCAGACATTTGAGTGAGGGAGGCAATGTACCTCGATGGTGGTGAGTATGGGCACGTCGGGGTGAACGGAAGAGAAGGAGACATGGTCGCGCGGGTGCCAGTCCTGCGAGTAGACCACCAGATCGAAGTAGCCACTCTCCCGCAGAGCAACCACCAGCGGTACGACCTCCTCGCCACCGGGCACCGGCTGTCCAGTGCAAGTGCCCTCAAGTTAGCGCACTTGGCAGGTGCGGGGGGGGGGCAGCAAAAAACGTGGTACCAGAGCGCCCTTGGGGTCGCAGAAGTCGTTTTGTATGTCCACCACCAGCAGGCCACGCTTTGACGTCATGAGTGAGGTTTGCACGTTGGGCGGTGTGGCGCGGAAGCGGTGTAGTCGATGGCGCGGTCGGAAGGAAGAGCTCAAACAGGAGGATTGCGCACCACTGCGGGAACGAACAGGAGAATTGTTTAGACTACACCCAACGGCGACAGCGCAAGACTGAGCCCAACGGGACGAACTCGAAGCCGCCCTCGAAGTTCTAGATAGACCAGAAGCCGAGCACCTTACGGGCCAAGAAATAGAGCTGCGGTGGCCACTGCACCTCACTCTTACTTTGACTACTTCCCTCTTCACTCCCCCTTTGCACATAACGCACACACGGCCACCATGAACGGGGTGGAGGAACAACAACAAGACTTGGTGGATGGTGGACGGGCGATACGGCTGTCCGTGGGCACGGCACGGACGCTGCCGGCGGTGCTCGAGGAGCAGGCCAACAACGAAGGGGGCGACCGGCCGCTTCTGCTGCGTGATGGCCGGGTGGTGGCCACCTACGCCTCGTTCCGTGCCGGCACCCACCGGCTCGCCCCTCGCCTCGCCCGTGTTCTTGCGTACGCCTCCATTTATATGTATTTAATAATAACATATGTTATATTCCTTTTTAGTCAAAATAAATTATTTTATTGGATCGAGATTTCTAGATATAAATATCAAGCCAACATATAATGCAAACAGGACGGAGGAAGGGAGTGTGCGGGACATGGTGGCGGTGGACGACAGCGGCAGGAGCATGCGGCGGCCCATCGCCGTGCTGTGCGCCAATGGGCCGCCGCTGTTGGAGCTGTGCATGGCGGCCTGGTACATTCGGCGGCCGGTCCTGCTTCTGCCCACGAGCGCCACGCTGGACATCATCGCCGACCTCATCAACCTGGCCGAGCCCCTGGTCCTCTTCCACGGCGGGCCTGCAGGCCTGGACCACAACAGCGGCCACAACGAAACTGCAGAGGAAGAACAGAAAATGCGCACGGCGCTCACCGAGCAGATGGAGACGCTGGCATCGACCATCAGCCAGCGCTGCCCGCAGCTCAAGCTGGTCGCCGTGACCGACGGTCGACTCACCCGCGCGGTCGCGGCCGAGGAGGAGGGGTCGACTACATTCGCGTACGAGCAGCGCGAGGGCGAGGAAGACGAGGTGTGCTGCGTGCTGTCGACGTCGGCCTCGACCACGGGCACCTCGGTCAAGGCCGTGCCGTTGACCCACACCAACCTGCTCTACAGCTGCGTGAGCCGCAATCACCTGTGGAGCGGCCACATCGACGACCGCGACCGCGTGCTGGGCTGGCTGCCCATGTTCCACATCATGGGCCTCCTGCTCGACTTCCTCAACTCTGCGCTCTACTGCGGCGGCAGCTACGCCTTCTGTCCGCTCAGCGCCGACCTGCCCCGCGCACTCATCAGGTACCAATTATCAACCTCGCGCGACGGTCCTATTTCCCCTGACTTCTCTGATTACACGGCAGAGGCATACAAGTGCATCGACCAACGCTGCTGAGCACAGTGCCGTGGATGCTGGCCGAGTGGCGGAAGCGGATCGAGGCCAGCTCAGCGAAAGGAGCAGAAGAAGAAGGAGAAGAGACGCTGGAGGCGCTCCGGTCGCTCAAGGCGCTGCTGACCGGCGGCGCGCCGATCGCCGACGACCTGGCGCTGTTCTTCGAGACCTGCGGGGTGCGGCTGTTCCAGAGCGAGGGTATGACCGAGTGCAGCGGAAGCCTATTCACGGGCCACCCGTCCGACACCTCGTTCCGCACCCTGCGCATGCACCCGTCGATCGCCTACGAATGGCTGCCGGTCGACCCGGGCCTGATCGAGGGCGGCAACGGCGGCGGCGAGCTGGTGATCGTCGCTCGCCGTCAGTCACGCCCGGCTATCTCAAGAATGCCGCGGCCAACGCGAAGGCCTTCTACTGGGCACCGCCGGTTGATGCTGCACCGACCGCGGCGGCGGTGCGTAAGTTCCGCACGGGCGATGTGTTTCGGGTGCTGCCGGGTACCCAGGGGCGGTGCGTCGAGTATGTGTGCCGGGTGGACGACCTGCTGAGTCTGTCGACCGGCGAGAAGATGAATCCGATCGCCTTCGAGCAGCGGCTGCGACTCCACGCGGTCGCCGGAGCTGCGCCTACGGAGCTGCCCCTGGTGCGCAACGTGTGCCTCATCGGCCGCGGAATGCCGATCGCCTTCGCCGTGATCGAGCCCGACTACGCGGCTGTCGACCAGGCCTTCGCTGCGGCGGCGGCCCAGTCGACTGTCGAGGCGTGGCTCGAGGGAGCCCTGTGGCGCGCGGTGGCCAAGGTCAACGAGGGCTGGAACGCGGCCTGCCGCGTCCATCGGGCCGCAGTCATTGTGCTCGGGCGGCACGACGAACCGCTTCCGGTGTCGAGGAAGAAGCTCGTCTATCGCGTACTCGCCGAGAAGCGGTTCGCCGACGAGCTGAAGGCCCGGACCGCCCTGATTCTGGGCAGATCCTCTCCTACGCCGGCGACGAGGCCCGACGCCGAGCGCACAGCTTCGCAGCTCGGGGCCAGGCGGACTAAGACGCTAGACGCCTTGCGCGAGTGCCTGGCCCAGGTGCTGGCCGTACCCATCGCCTCTCTGAGCAGCGCCACACTGGAGGCCGGTGCCGGCGGGGTGGACGACCAGCCATTTGCCTCGCTGGGCCTCACCTCGCTCCTCGCGGCGCGCCTGGCCGGACAGGTCACCGAGCGATTCGGGGTCGAAGTCACGGCCGCCACGCTCTACACCCACATCACCCTGGACCAACTCGCCACGTTTGTGCTGACGTCACGCACTGGAGCCACCACCCTCGAGCAGCCGAGCGCTGACCCGCGCGGCAGCGAGTCGTCGACAGATATCGAGCCCGTGGCCATCACAGGCATGAGCTGCCGATTCCCCGGCGGCGCCGACGACCTGGAGAGCTACTGGGCGCTGCTGAAGGGCGGCGTCGACGGCATCACCGAGGTGCCCCGCTCGCGGTGGGACATCGACCAGCTCTACGACCCCGACAGCGACGCCCCGGGCAAGATGCACACGCGCCGGGGCGGCTTCGTCGAGGCCACGGAGCGGTTCGACCACCGCTTCTTCGGCATCTCGGCGCACGAGGCCAAGATGATGGACCCGCGCCAGCGCGTGGCGCTCGAGCTCGTGTGGGAGGCGCTCGAGTCGGCCGGCATTCCCCCGCGGAGCCTGGCCGGGTCGCGCACCGGCGTGTTCGTGGCCCTCATGGACAGCCCCTTCCAGGAGACCCTGCTGGCCGTCGGCCCGCCCGACCTCCAGTACGGCACCGGCGGGTCGTCGAGCGTCGTGGCCGGTCGGCTGTCGCACTTCTTCAAGCTGCGCGGGCCGTCGATGACTGTCGACACGGCCTGCTCGTCGAGCCTCGTCGCCATCGACGCCGCGGCGCGGGCCATACGCTCTGGCCAGTGCGTCAAGGCCATCGTGTGCGCCGCGCACGCCGTGCTCACACCGACGTCGAGCGTGTTCCTGTCCAAGGCGCGCATGATCAGCCCCAACGGCCGCTGCGCCACGTTCGACGCTGACGCCGACGGCTACTGTCGCTCCGAGGGCTACGGCGCGATCGTGCTCGAGCGGCTGCGCGACGCGGAGGCTAGCGCGCGGCCCGTGTGGGGCCTGCTCTGCGGTTCGGCGGTCAACCACAACGGCGGCACCTCGAACGGCATCACCGCGCCCAGCACGCTGGCCCAGCGCGAGGTGCTAGCGGCCGCGCTGGCCGACGCCGGCCACCTCGATCCCGCGCGGGTGTCGCTGATCGAGGCGCACGGCACCGGCACGCCAGTGGGCGACCCGATCGAGATGGCGGCCCTGGTCGACGTCTACGGCAAGCCGCGCTGGCACGCCCAGCAACGGGCCAATGGCGGGCAGCTCACTCCGCTCGCTGTCGCTTCGGTCAAGACCAACATCGGCCACGCTGAGCCCAGCAGGTGCATTCCTACATTCTTACATTCTTTACTATGTTGCTGACGAGTCGGTGGTACCGTGCAACGCAACAGCGGCATGGCCGGTGTGATCAAGGTCCTACTGGCAATGCACCACGGGGTAATACCGCCGCACATCCACCTCGCGAAGCTCAACCCGCTGATCGACCTTCGCCCGGCCGAGGCCAGTCTCTACAATCCCACCGCGCCCGTGCCATGGCGGCCCGACTCCACCGAGGCTCAGCTCTTCGCCGGCGTCTCGTCGTTCGGCTTCGCCGGCACCAACGCCCACGTCATCCTGGCCTCCCCTCCTCGGTCGGCCACGGCCACGGCCGCCACCGCCTCGGCCCCGTGGACAGGTCCCTTCGTGCTGCCCTTCTCGGCCACCAACGCCGAATCGCTCCTCGGCCTCGCGCAGCGACTGCTCCGGCACTGCGAGGGCGCCATCGAGCGCGACAATGGCAGCGACGCCGACGCCCTGCGCCGCTCGGCCGCCGAGCTGTGTCTCACGGCCGCCCTGGGCAGGACTCATTTCGGCGCCGCCGGCATTCGGGCGGCCGTCGTGGGCCGGGACATCGACGAGCTGACCACGGCCCTACGCGCCTGGATCGCGTCTGCCGAGGCCGGGCGCAACCCTGCTGTGCCCCCCGTGTCCAGGCACCGCGCCGCCGCTCAGCCTCGCGTGTGCTTCGTGCTTGCGGGCCAGGGCTCGCAGTACGTCGGCATGGGGCGTGAGCTTTACGAGTCGTGCCAGGTCTTCCGCCAGGCCCTCGACGAATGCGATGCGGCGTGGCGCGAGGTGAACTACACGCTGCTCCCGCGGCGCGCGGCGGCGACCGACAGCGACGATCTACCGACCGTGGCGGCATCGCTCGTACGGCTGATCTACCCAACCACCGACGACAGCACCGACGAAGCCGAGGCCGCGCTGGACCGTACGGCCAACTCCCAGCCAGCGCTGCTGACCTTTGAGTACGCGCTGGCGCGGCAGTGGCAGGCCTGGGGCGTCGAACCGGCCGCGCTGACCGGCCACAGCCTCGGCGAGATCGTGGCCGCGGTCCTCGCCGGCCTGCTCAGCCTG